TGGCAATTTTCAAAGTTCTTACGAAATTTTCTGCCTGACCATTGGAACAAGGGTACCTGGGAGCCGTAAACAGATGTCTGAACCCTATACCATTCAACCAATTAGTGACTGCATCTGCAGCAAAATGAGAGCCATTATCAGTCACCAACACCATAAGAACTCCTTGTCGACTAAACGCCTTCCTTAATACTTGAATTGTGTAGTCAGAATTCGGTGAAGTTGTGAAAAAAACTTCAGGCCACTTAGAAAAAGGATCAATAATTACAAGTGCATAGTATTTGCCAAGAAATGGTCCACGGTAGTCTGCATGAATTCTCTGCCAGGCCTCAGACGATACTGGCCATGGAGTCCACTTCGAAGGCTGACTTTTTAGCTTATGACATTTCTCACAATTGTTTGCTGTACGACATATATCTGCATTTATCTCTGGTCACCAACATGTGAGTCCTGCCAAGGACTTCATTTTTTCAACACCTAGATGTCCACTATGAAGATCATCAAGGACAGGTTTGAGTAATGAGGAAGGGATAACAACACGATCATTTAAACACAAAATACTATCAAGTGTGGTGGATAACCCATCCCGCTTTGAAAAATAGACAAAAAATCTACTTTTCAGATTAGCATTCCAACCCTTCCGTATAGCACTGAGTATACATCCAAGGTATCTACGAGTTTCTCTAATGAGATCTGGACGTCTCACCGGTAAAGGTTGCACTAACAAGCAGTCTGAAGTATTAACAGGTCTACCTTGTAATGGTTGTCGAGAAATGTAGTCAACGTGTTGAATTTGTTTTGCACTCCTGTGCTGAACTGTATAGTCATAGGCACTCAAAGCAATACTCCATCGTTGAACCATAGCAGCTGAGAAACGTGCTAAGGATTTTTCAGGATGATAAATGAACTTTAAAGCTTCATGATCAGTAACAATGGTGAACTTCTTTCCAAATAAATATTTATGAAGTATTTTACCAGCCCAAAACACAGCTAACGCTTCTCGCTGCGTATGTGAATAACCTTGTTTAGAAACAGAAAGTTTGCGTGAAACACAGATAACTGGCTTACCTTACTGTTCCAAAACTGCACCAATACCCACAGGTGATGCATCAGTAATAAGTACAGAATGTACACTGGGTGAGTAAGTTCGAAGAACAGCATCACTTTGAAGAAACTTTAGCAGACTTCGTAGGCATGACTCTTGTTCTTCACCCCATTTGAATGTCAAAATATTAAATAAACAGTTGGCATGACAAGAAAAATTAGGAATAAAACGAGAATAGTACTGAAGAGCACCCAATAGTGGACGTAATTTTGTGATATTTTTTGAAGACGGTGCATTTGTCAGTGGGGCTAGTCGTTTCATATCTGGTATAAAACTATTACCATCAACTAGGTATCCAAGGCATTCAAAACTAAATACACTACATGGACATTTATTCGGATTCACTGTAATATCCTTCTCAATTAAACGACGCAATAAAGCGATTAGTCTCCAGTCATGAACTACTTTATCGGCACCATGAACAATGAGATCATCTTAATAAACTTCAACACCTTCAATATCGCTGACTATCTTATTCATGACCTCCTGAAATATGGCTGGAGAACAACTAAGACCAAATGGAAGGAAGTTGTATTTGAACAGACCAAAATGAGTGTTAATTGTTGTCAAGATAGATGAAGATTGATCTAAAGAAATTTGAAGATAAGCATCTTGTAAGTCAACTTTCGAGAACACTTTAGAACCATGAAGTCGATTTAGAATATCTTCAGCCTCCATCGTCGTGCACGTTTGCTTCAACAAACAGGAGTCTAGTGTTGATCTGTAATCACCACATATTCTAGGGGTCTTGCCATCCGACTTTAATGGCGTAAAAATAAAAGTACCCCATGCTGAGGACTGAACTGGTTCAGTTATACCTTTCGCATACAAATCGTTTAGTGACTTATGTACTGCTTCTCGAAGACCATAAGGAATTATTCGTCTTTTAAGAAAGACTGGATCACCCTGTACTTGAAGTTTTATGGGCTGAATTTTCATACCTCCACTACACTTAGCACACACAGCTATCAAATCCTTGAGTAAAGCATCAGAATTTTCTGTAGAAACTAGTAGAGACAATTCCACTTTAAGCCTTTTCAGATTTTTTAAACCCAGTATGAACAGTCCTGTTTCACTAACTAAAGATTCACAAGGTACATATGAAGAATTATCATTTCTTATTAGCAATTTACAACATCCTCGTATAGGCAGTCTGTGTCCAGTAATCTCCAGTATTGAGACCTCAGTGGGTTTTACCACAACATTAGGATCTAAAGATTTTAAGTTCTTGAATGAAATAATGGACTCTATACTACCTGTGTCCACAATAAAGTCATGAAATGAACCAATGGATCTATATAATCGCTTTTGAATATGAACATTCCCTTTTGAAGTGGTGGATAAAGATAAATGATCATTAAAAACAGCCGAACTATCAGAATCTAAGTTACAAGACTTAGTAACACTTGAAGCAAAAAGAACAGTAGTTTTGCACACTGACTGAATGCGTCCTATCTTGCCACATTTAAAACATTTAGCATTACGAAATGCACATGAATTACGAGAATGAAATTTGCCACAAGATAAGCATTTACCTAACTTTTTCTCACCTTTGTTGATTGCTTTGCAGTTCCTTGTTGAATCACCTTTCATATTTCCACGAGAATAGAAATCACGATTAAACGAACGCAAATTTGATCGACCCTGAGATTGTATTTCATCATGACGACTAAGCAAAGTATTAGAAATTTTCATCGATTGAATATCAAGTTCATTCATTGCTTCGTAGTTAATACATGCAGTTCTAGCATCTTGAAAAGAATAGTTCGGAATTCTGAACAGCTCCTTTTCCAGACCTGGTATGTTAATTCCTGCAATTAACCGATCTCTCAGCTGTACATGAAGTTGATCACCAAAATTGCATTTGGCAGCTTGTCTTTGCAATTCAAGGATGAAGTCCTTAACCTTCTGGTTATCCTGACGAATCATCTTATGAAATTTTGCTCTCTCACGACATTCAAAACTGGTGCACTTCACATGATTTAATAGTAATTCCTTGAGAGTTGTATATGGGAGTGAAATCGGCTTATCTGCTAAGGTTTTTAGTAAACTATAGGCTTCTTGACCGACGAATGTAAGAAAATGTGCCACAATTTTGTCACCCTTCATATCTTTCTTGGTCATGCTCCATATCTCAAACCTTTCAAGGTAATCCTCAAAAGTTGAATGAATGTCCAACTGTTGCATCGCAGGCTCCATCGCGATGCCAGTATGTAAATCAGAAGTATTTGAATTGCAGTATAAACTAGTAATCCCAGGAATAACGCAATTTAATCAAGAAGTATTAGATGAGCCCGAACGAATGTATTGTATTTTGAATTCAAAATCACAACAGTAATCAATACAAAGAAGTCATTGATTTATTCAAACACCACAGTCATGCACCAAGACAATACTTTTATTCATCAAATACTTAGTGCTTGATTCTTTTTCGGAGGATGAAAAAAAAGTAAAACATGACCAGAGCTGTAGAGCTTCTGTTAATATTTCTCAGTATTTAACTTTAAAATCGAATTCGGCGATTTTATAATATCATACATGTACATAAACTCTACATTTACAATTGCACATCGCGGATAAACAAATTTATTGAGAAATTGGAGCAGTTGGGAATCGGGTGGCCTGATAATTGTGATTCAACAAGCCTTAGTAAACCTTTTAATTGCCGAGTTTTAGTGTCAAACCTGGTCCAAAATTTATGCAGATACGGGTAAATCGTGCACAACACTTTCATCGGGACCAGTAGCATATATTTTGGAAATAATTGAACGGTAGAAAACAACAAAATCTAACACGGATTTCTAAGATTTGAAAACATCCAGGAAACTAAATGCATAACGCCGTTTCTTTTTGTGACTTTGTACTTACTGACTGACAAAGTACAGCAATTTCAAAAATGTGTTTAGACTAGATCGAAAAGTTTATTATTTATGTATTTAGAGCGCTGACCAACGTGGACAAAAGTCACAATGGAAGAATCACTAGAACCAGAAATTTTGGCATTACTAAACAGATCAGACTTCCACTATCAAACCTCAGCTCCTGATTAGAGAGCTTTATACCCTAAAACTAATATGTTGACCAATACTACTGCTGAATGCGATTTCGACGTACTGAGATTTACGGGTTCACAAACAAAAGATAGTAACATTCAGTGATACAAGCACCTATCACTTCTTAATGTAAAACACATACAACCAAACAGTTAATGACTCTCTTAAGTATCTGTAGAATGCTTCTAGTGTTTTATACCAAGTAGAACAAGATCGACAGGAGATAAAAGTCTTTCAATATCACCCTCATAATTAACAATCGACGTTTTACCGCACATTTATAGGTACCATGATCTTTTAGAAAATGTTACCTGGGAAAACATCAAGATCATACTCAGGCACCTGTCAACGTATTTCAATCACGAACGTTTGTCAAATGGAAATTCTGAATAATTTGTGCGTAAAGTCTCGAGTTTTGCCAGAATTTCGGAAACTGAGATAATGTAAATGAACGTATAGCTCGTTCTTGCAATTTCAATTCCACTCAGCCCACTGGAACTAAAATCACATATTTATTTTCGGTATATACAATTCTTTCCTGTCAGCGAATGTTAAGTTTTGATCCGAATTTTAGAGTTAGTAACAAGCTGTATTCGGTGTAATCTCTACATAATATGTAACCAAAACAACAGTATCGGCAGCATGAGAGTTAAAAAGAATATCAACAAGCGTAAGTGCTCGAGCGCACCATTTTCTAACTTACAGTTCAAACATGTGTTTAACAATAAGTCGGGTTTTCTTACAAGCAACTTGAAAAACGTGGAAAAATTAGAGAAAAGTTTATTTGCTAACAGAGATTTATATTTATTTACAAAGAGAATTAAATAATACATATATTGTGTTACTTAATGCCGTGGATTGCGGTTAGTCGTCTTTCGCGTTGAAACTGAAGTGACACGACCAGTGTCACAAACAGATTGAGAAGTAATAGGATCTGGTTGCACAGGTCGATCTAGTGCATTAGCAGTAATCAAAGAATTCCCCAATTCAGCCGATGGATTCACTGTGAGGTCGTTAATAAGTCTTGTAATTTGGGTGAATTTATTTATCTTAATTGAAAAACAAAATTGATAAGATGATTAAATGAAAAAAGAAGTGGTTGAAAGAAATACAAGAGAAAGGTAAGCTCTCTAAAGTACGGCCATATATTGTAGCAAAGTCCCAGAATTTTAAATACTTATTAGAAAATATAATATCATTATTACACCTAACCAAAATGACTTTCCAGATTTGTGGTTTTGGAAATGTGAATACGAGACGTAATAAATCGAGATAAGTAGGAAAGTTCACATTTCACCTCTTGCTCAGTGTACTACACAAGTGTAAACATACTTAGAATCAATGCTTTCATTTAGGACTTCACTATGACTTTTTACTATTGTTATAACTAGGATAATATTGTGCAAACCTGATCTTTTGGAACCATTTTAGCGGAAATTATTATACATATTTTCATTATGTAATCACCGAGTACTCAAATCATTGTACTTTTACAAACCCTTAGTTGAAAGTTTTTATTTGACGCATGAACTATTTTTGTACGTTACACGATCCTCAAAATACTGTTGATTGCTTATCAGATTATCATCTAGTTCGCATTTACTTATGGCATAGTTATGTCTGGGTTATAATTTCCTATTTATTTTGATATGTGGTAAAAAGCTTACTGTATATTATTGTGTGGATTGAGTCATATGACTGAATTGTGCAAAGAGAAGTCATCAAACTGCTGTGTTGTATTCTATTCTGGTTATCCGACAAGCGAGCGTGGGGAATTCCTCCTAAGACAAATAGTGGTTAAATATTGATATCAGTTGTAATATCACAATCATCGTGTCACTAGTCTGATGTCAGCAATCTAGGCGAAGTGATCAATAACTCAGACTAGATGATACAGCTGCTCATATAATTGCGGAGCGGCCATAAGAGGCTCAGTATAGCACAAGAAACTTGTTTCTTCTTTAGGCGCACTACGTTCTAAAATTATTCATTCGACGTGTTTAAGATTTTCGTATATTTTCATTTTCACTCTTCCGTAATTGCTGCTTAGGAAATATAACATGTAGTTACAATCGACTTCCATATCACGCTGTTTTGCAGTAAATTACCAATTCTTTCTTCTTATTCACACTTTTGTAAGAATATTATATTATCATTTGCAATAATGGTGTGTTTTGAATTCTGTGTGCTATACACATAATCATGTTTTTTTCGTATTTCATGCCTGAATTATCGTTACACAAAACAATGATATTTACAGTTTCATATCAACCTAACATCCTTTCAAATTCCACAGAACTTATCAAAAAAAACTGTGACTATTAGATAAATGTTACTGAAACTATTGTATATGTGATAAAACACTAAATGGTGTCTTCATAAGTCTTATTTATCCACAAATCACTGGTGAATTGTGATAACAAACAGTTGTTTAAACTAATGTAGAGCTGACAGCTTACATGTGAGTAACTATTATGTAAGTGGTTAGTGAATTCTTTGAAAAAGACCCGAACAAAATCATATTTTAACAAGAGCTAAACAAGTTTATCTAGAAGTTAGGTGTATATTTTTGATGAAGAGTAATAAATATGGAACTTAAGGTTACGGAGAGTTCTCCTAAGTCATAGATTTATTTGTAATAAAGTGTAATAGTTGATCATAGCGATAATATGAAATTTCACTAAGATTGGAACGAACAGTTTTACAAAAATAAATGAGAGACCAGGCATAAAGAAGACAGAATATAAAAATATACTTGTAAAATTCTTAGCGATTGAAACTGTATGGATTCACTGTTAATTGAGAGGAAGTATCTATAATTGTAAGATTGATGTTACTTGATATCATATATTACCAATGCCATATGAACATTCGATGCGTTGCACGATGTCTTATATATAATTGTTTTACCAGAGAAAGATGAGGTGATCACAATGTGTAAAGTGATTTACTTAAAGACATCGTGTAGTGTTTTAGAGAAAGCAATTGTTAAGTTTAGATCATTTGTGATACATCAAAACGATTATCGATAGGAAAAAAAGACAAGTATATAGCATTATTAGTTAAAAAAATGCGTACTTGTGCAGTTTGAGCTTGGATTTGATTCTGAGCCTGATTCAACTGGTTTCGATAATCATCAATTGTCAAATCCATAGATCTAATCTGTTCACGAGCAGCTTTTAATTTATTTTGAAGCGTTTCAACTTTTAATTCAGATTCTGTAGAGAAAAAAAGGATTTGCATCCGAAAGAAATAGACATGAAGATTAGATATTGACAAGTTACTTCGGCTTATCTGATTGCTATTCATAACGCTGCAGTAAGAAACATTGACTTATAAACATCGATTTACACAAAATTAATTTCGAAATAAGTTATTTAGAGGATTTACTAAACGATAGCACCATGAACTTCCATTAATAGCTTGCTATTTAGACAAGAATGACACAGTTATTCCAATGTTTGTGACGTGCAGAAATAGATCAAATGACTTAAAGATACATGCGACATTCTCTCCCATACAAGCAAAACATTTCATTGTTTTTCGAGTTGGAGTCGTGTTAAGAGATACACTCTTTCTGTTTAATGCTTACGGGATGTTCATGGACCATTTGTGGTTGGAAATGTTAAATGATATCACACAAATAATTTCGTTTATGAGTTTGGATAAAGCTAGAACAGCAGATGAGTTAGAATAATATAAATTCGTTTTATTTCGTGCTATCCTCAACTGCTTACAACCTCAGAATATAATACTAAGTAAAAGAAGTAAGCGATGGAAAAAATTGGATTGACAACGATTACCAGTATACATGAACAAACATATGTAGATCTATTTGAAGATAAATGTCAACGACACAGAGGAGAGAGGTTGTAATTATAAAGAATTCAAAAATTGAGAAGATGAATTGATAATCGTTACTAGAAGATTGGAAGTGTGAATAGGTTTAAGATATGAATAAGTGAAACATTTTGCTAAGACAAGATCATTTAGCGAAAGACAAACAACAATAACAATTGGGCATGATTTTAATCAGAATAATAAATCCACCCTGATAGTAACAAATTGACAATTGGCTCCTTCTGAACACGTTAATTCCATTAAGGTTTCTTAATGATAACTCTTCCAGTTAACCATAAACAAGTCATGCTTTTTTTATTCGTTTATAATTTTGAATGATTTATGAACGCCGATGATATACCCCTATTGATCAGATGTCAAACTATGGAACTGTTTAACGATATGAGACCTTCTGACTTCGACTTCTCCGGAATATGCTCAGAAATAAAAGTATCATGTCTAATTACCATTATTGTTTGTACTTTATAATGTTATCTTCGCTTAGTTTAACGTTATTTGACCCAATTTGAAGTTGTCTTTTGACTTACTGTAATTTTAGATATAATGTAAACTTTTCAAATCTTCTATAATATGCAATTTATTTTATACATGAATACATATTGCTTATGACTAATTTTTTATCATATAAATACTTGTGTAATTAGAAGCTGGATTAGACAATAGGGAATTATTATTTAAATATTATTACAACAAAATTGCCCACGAATGCCCTGGTACTGCCGACAGTGAGGAGAGTTCGCTCTCCCTGTCGAAATGCTCTCACATGGCCACGTGTATACAGCCTCTTCCAGCGATGTCCTACTCACTGCCTTCTCGTGGCGTTACTGTTGTTTACGAAATTGAGAGGACAAAAAGCGAATGTCCGGCGCTTTAACCGGGTTGGTGGACACGGAAAGTTCACCTAGGGGAGTTGGAAAAACCTGATTTCAAACCAATGGTGTACATGGGCTTCAGTATCCTGAGGGAACAAATGGCATATGAATCAACTGTTGGTCACCGGCTGCCATGAGGCTGCATCTCCTCAGAATGCTCCACTGCCTTGTGGATCAGATCTTTAAGTCAAAGGTCTCGGGTGTGGCCTCCTAAGAAAACCATCTGCTTCGGTCTGGGCACCCGGGCAGTATAACAACCTTCACATAAATCAAATGAGATTTGTGTGGCGCATATATATTTGGTGCCTCCTCGCACCAATATTTATTTCCTCAAATAAATAATAATAATAGATAGATAGAATGAAATGATCTATTACGGTGGGGAAAGAAGATTGAAAAAACAAACGCCATGATATACAAACAAAAGCTGAGAATCGTAAATTTGTTAAAGAATTCTTTTAATGACATGAGAGAAAACAGATGGTTCTCATATATTTTTTTTATGGACAAATGATAAGTCAATGAAGAATTTCAATTAATGTTATACACAATTTGATAAATGACAATATAAGATACTAATTAAAACGTAACAATTGGCATTACCTTCGTAAGATTTGTGTTTAATTTCTAATTGTTCACTGAGTTGAGCAATTTTCTCATTAAATCTAGAAATTTTTTAATAATTAAAATACTGTTCTGTTTATAGATTTAACAAAAACTAAACGCGGAAGGGGTTTTGTGGAGATTTAGTATTCTCATGGTTGAAAGCGTGAGTCAATTGAAGCCAGATCACCATGGAAAACCTGGAAGCACTGGGTTCGGATCTCGTGGGTGCGGTATCATGGATGCGCACTGCCGAGGAGTCCCATAATAGGACGAAATGGCCGTCCAGTGCTTCCCGGTTTTCCATGGTGGTCTAGCTTTAATTGACACACGCTTTCAACTATGAAAAACAAAACTGTTAAACGGTTAACAAAAATAAGTGAATAAAGGTTGTTTTTTTATAACACTAAGAAACTGGATAGTACCAGAATTGTCTCAAAGGAAGAAAAAACGTATACACCAGATAACAGAATATTGTCTTGTAGTCAATGTGGTTATTAACTGATGAAAATTTATGAGCATATCAAATGGAAATAACATGTTTTACAATGTCAAGCTTATAGCAATGTTGTAACTTTGAATTTTCCAGTCAACTCTGTTGTATCCACAGGCCTAATAGTTATATTTTATATTGAGGAACTATTACAAGTTCCCACGAAATAAAGTGAGAACATAAAAGTCTGATAAAATAAAAAATGTCTTAATTGGTCAAAACATATCGCTATGCGATCAAAATACGTTCATCTATAAAATGATTTCCATACAAACATGGAAAGGCAGAATTAATACATACTGAATTTAGTTCACTTTAATTAATATAGACAATATAAATGTCACACTGAAAGTTTACCCCTGTCATATTAAACGACGTTCATACTGAATTATCAAAGATAATGTCTACTTTTTATCCCTTCATATCACAATGGATTAATTATTCTGTAGATATAGTTATTAGTATATGGATGAAACTTAGGACTTCATATATATATATATAAGTATATAAGTTTTATTTTACAAGGATGATTTTCACTAAGGGTTTTGTTTTGAGCTCTAGCCTTCAATTTTTCGCTTTTCTTATTCGGGCAGTTGAAATGAGCCATGGAAGACATACATGGACGGTCAGTTTTAGATGACTGAAATGAAATCGCTAGTGGAAATCATGCATTTACATTTAAGATTCACTAGCCAAATAAACAGGAAATTTCTCGAAAATTCTAGATATTGCACTTTTATTTAACACTGATAAGGATGGGTTAACATTATCTACTAAGCTATCAAGTTTATTGATAATGGATGGTTGTAGATCTGATGTGCTGATTAAAACATTAAACTTGTGGCATTTCTGCTTACTGATCGTCTATTCGTGAACTAAACACGGTAGGTTTATCTATGGATACGATTATAATAAAACACATGGAATTGAGAAAATTCTGTGCGAAAATTGTTGGGAAGTTGGGGACGCTTAAATAAGAACTGAATCATATTTCTACGAGAGTGACATCACACAAGAAGGAATGAATGATATAACAAGGTTTAACTGAAGAGTCTAACCTCTAAGGCCTTTCAAAGTTGTTTTGGATTATGGGAATAATGACTAACAAATATATAATTGTTATATCGTTAATATATATGGACGTGCAATTGGAGAGGTAGTGGATTTTACTGATTGGACGCAAATGATACTTGAAATTGTACGAGCAGTCTTGATTGCGTATCGGCCCTGCTATCTGCCTAGCCCAGCCAGTTGAGTCCAGAACACAAATAACAGCCTCAGTAGTATGAATCATTATTTACAAACACACTGGGTTTTTATACAAACCAAAGTAATCAATAAACTGATTATAACTCAAGAATCGTATGATAATAAATCAAAAATCAAAATAAAGCTCATGATAAGAGAAAACGAATATGAATAATTTAGTTACGTAACAACTGTACAATAAGAAATAGGCATAATACATTGGTCGATAATAGACCTCAGATTTACGATTCATAATTCACCAGGGGATATAACACCTCCCCTTTTTGAGAAATCCGGAGTTGACATCCGGATTTTAAATTTCTCGAATTCACCCTCCCCCACGAAAGATTGTTGGATCCTCATGTATCCAAGTTACCGTTATTGTGACATTATTTAAAACATATTCGTCGTATTTAACAGAAAATCCACCAGAACTGATTATATCGTGAGGATCGACGACATTCGATTTGAGGTCACCGGCGTCTGATTCTTTTGAAACACTTTCCTTGAATTTACTCGGAACCTCATTAGTAGATAATGAATCATTAGGATAATCAGTATCTATGAAATTTGTATTGGATTCTTGATTATCATTTAATGCATCCGATATTTTTCTCCCATTTTTATAAGAGATTTGAACTGGAACATATGAATCAGCAAAATAATCGGGATCTGGCAGAACAATTAGATAATCTTGATCACTAGATTCATTAGACAAATTTTTTGCATCGTGACTGGTTTGATTTGGCGCCACTGTATTCACTATACTGCTCGGTTTGTTTCCCATTTCTTCATGCGCGGGTACTGCAGCACTTTCATAAGCATTTAGCAAGACATTGTCTTCCTGTGAACAGAATAATTCACTGTTTGCACGTCCTTTTTCAGGAATAACAGGATTTGGACCGTTTATAGGGCATGTCTCTGAAACAGACAGTACCGGACCACTGGGCTGATCATGTATAACTGCTAATGATTCGTTTAATTTACTGTGTCTTGGATTCATTGAGGCTTTCACTGGCATATTCATTTCTTCTGCAATCGTTTTCCAGCTCTGTACGCAATTTTGAAATTAATGCGTCAACTTCCGTTGCACCCCCAAAGCATGGGTGATTCAGCAGCTTTGCATGTAACTTGTCAATGAATTCCAATTGACTCTTTCTAAAGCGCTGCTCTTGTCGCTGGATTAGCAACTGAAATTGATCGGAAGTTAGAGCCATTTTTTTACCCGTCGCCAGTTGTTATATCGTATGGGACTCTTAATATATATGGACGTGCAATTGGAGAGGTAGTGGATTTTACTGATTGGACGCAAATGATACTTGAAATTGTACGAGCAGTCTTGATTGCGTATCGGCCCTGCTATCTGCCTAGCCCAGCCAGTTGAGTCCAGAACACAAATAACAGCCTCAGTAGTATGAATCATTATTTACAAACACACTGGGTTTTTATACAAACCAAAGTAATCAATAAACTGATTATAACTCAAGAATCGTATGATAATAAATCAAAAATCAAAATAAAGCTCATGATAAGAGAAAACGAATATGAATAATTTAGTTACGTAACAACTGTACAATAAGAAATAGGCATAATACATTGGTCGATAATAGACCTCAGATTTACGATTCATAATTCACCAGGGGATATAACAATAATCATAAACGGGGAGTGTTTTGCAAGGAACAAGATGTTTTTGACAATCTAAAAGAAAGTTTTCATGACTTTAGAACATGTACTTAATGGGAAAACTATATGATCACCAATGTAGTCAAAATCTTTAAAGAAAAAAGACTACTACTTTGTGACAGACTTCTTATCGTATGTCAATGATCATGTTACTTAATCAAACGTCGATCACTACCGAAGCTATAGCAAAATATTTTTTAGCAATAGAAAATAACATCATATTTTATAAAGAATAATTACTTCTCAAGTTGTTCTGCTCCACAAGAAATTTGTTTTTTATAATGATGTATATTAACGATTGATTCCATTTGTAGCATTCGTAATTTACTTGACTCATATTCAGATAGTTCAAGACGTTCCCGGTAATAATCGCATAGTTTATGCGCACTCAATGCGGCTTCAGCATTGATTCTGGCATTTTTTTCATGGACCTTTTCACGAGACTAAAAATATTTTTAGAAAAATATATACTTGAAAGAAAACAAATATACTTCAATAAGGTAACAACAGTATAGACTATTGGAACAATGTTATTAATATTGAATAAATCTTCCTATATTTTTCCGCTCGACCACATAGCTTAATTATTGTTTGTGTGTGCTTCGGTTGTGTAAGTCGCCATAACACCCATATCACTGAACGGCCGAAGCTTCAGTAACTACTGCGATTTTTGCAGCCAATGTTACTGGTGCATTCATTATACAGTTCGTGGCAATTATTATAATATGCCTTGTTCTCAATCTGGATCGAGCGATGAGGGTTCATATTCTAGCAAACGTCTTCCTTCAATACATATTACATCGAAAGACAATATTACGGTAGTCTGCACAACGTCTATAAGTCACTTAATTTCCACGGTCACAAATAAAGGAACTTTTTAGTAGTCTCATTTGTTGTAGCCGCTTAATTGTCAAGTCTTCTCTAAAATTCTCTGTAAACCTATTGTACGTGAGCACCAGGTATTGAAATTGGCGCTGTGACCTTGAAATCCCTCAAACGCTTCTGATGAAAAAGGTTTATTGATAAGTAATTAATACGACAAGCAGAGTAATGAAATTAAAGTTAAATACTTTAGGCTTTTTGGTTGGAGAAATAGGGAAAAATTTCTTTCACTTCAAATTCAGATTGATGATGCTATATAGGCAGGTTTTTTAAACAATGTAACGTAAATACTAGGTAACTAGCTTTGAGTTTAATATATTTTTATGTGTGCTAGGTGATATTACTCGGTTTAAGGAACTGAAGTAGGTCAGAGACGGAGTTGGAATCTGTTACCAAATGATCGGAAGAAAAATGCGTTAGATATTAAGTCACTAAGTCAGCATAATTTAAGCAGATTATTGATTATCTTGTTGAACATATATTCACACTTTATAAAATCATTTTTCTAGTTCCTATCTTAATTTTAAATAAATTCCCATCATACAGGAAGTCATTTGAGAACTTAATAGCTTGGTAATAACGTCTCTGATTCAGAAGATAAGTGATACGGGGTCGAATCCCCCAAGGAGTATCAGTTTCTTTGCGATTATAGGTACACCTTGCTGACGAGCGTCAAGGAGCTCGAAACATAAGGTACAGGGATTTCTGCGAAATACCTCCAACCACCATCCTACCTTTCAACATAATAAATGAAATGTGCAATTACTAAGGCTAGTGGTTACATTGCAATTTGATAGATAGGATTAGATCAGCATCGAGAAACATTTAACATACACGACATCGGTCACTACTCAGTGACCAGTCATTTGTAAGTTACGATTTCAATTTGATTGAAAACTTATACAAAAAGACTCATTGGAATTCTGAACCGATCAATGTTAGACCACCATTGAAACCTGGAAGCACTAGATGGCTGTTTCGTCATAGCATGAAACTCCTCAGCAGTGCACATACACGACTCTGCATGCGGTAACCCAATTCAGTACTTTTGCAATTAAGTGAGAGCATTTAACACTTGGTCGACTGAGCCGGAACCCAACGGTGTTAATGTTCAACTTTTATCCATTCACGATATCAAACAACCATGTTCCAACGGCCGTTCAGTGCTTCCAGGCTTTCACAAGTGGTTTAACATTGATCGTTCCACGATTTCAATGGAACTTAACAATCTCCACAACCCTAATACCGATAAATATAGAAAACGTTATTTCTGTTGTGTAATTCTTTCTGATTATCATGCTAATTAGTGACTTTCTTATGATTCTACGACTAAGTGAGAGACTATAGCAACTCTCCTACAATCATTTTTTAGCGGTTAACTTTTGTCATGTCGTTTTATTAACTTATTTAACAGACAATGTTATTCTAACAGTAACAATTCGTCTATATCTTTGCATTATTATGATCACTATCATGTTTGTATAAACATGTATGCTTGATTACATGTGACAACCTACGCACATATCTCTCCCTAGCTTAAATGTTGATCGCTTGAATATTGCTCGATGAATCATTCTCTTCCCCATGTATATATGTGCTCGAATCCTATATTAATAGCTTTTGCTTTGTTGTGCCCTTACCGATCTGACTATAAATTCGCATCTGTATTCGCTGGTTAGCACATATTAGCTTCTCTGCTCCAGATTCACTCAATGCGATTGTAACTTTGTTATCCACTAGTAAACTGTAGTCCCCACTTCTTATTGCCTTTTGAATCCAAACACAGTTATCAAAGTGATTGATTAACGAAGCTAAGCCATTACAAGACAATGTGTTCTAGAGAGCAATTGTATTTGTTCTCTAATACAATCAATTTATCACTGTAAATTTGTTCAGGAAGTTCGTCAAAAACTAGCTTAAAGAAAAATTTATTTCAAATGAAAATCTTTCAAAAAAAAATGCACACAATGAGTTTAATCCTATGATAAGTTATGCAATTTGAATTGATAAAACTTACTTGTAATAGACGGATTTTGTATTCATACATGGATAATGTTAATTTAATATCATCATCTGTAGTCTAATAGAAAGAATAATAAAAACAATGCAATATTTATGTGCATATTACGAAGTATAAGAAATAATATTTTAAACAGAGTGATTTACGATGAACAAAGAATATAAAAAGCACAGCAACGGCTAATTTAAACAATTTTTATAGATATTAGTAAATATCTCAAAAGAAGACCACAAATATATGGGATAGTGAGTCGATGGCATTTGATCAGCACTAAGAATGACTTGACACGCATCAGAATGATCAACACAGTGGTCAATCAATTGTGATTACATCTAAGTCCTACAGGAGGTCGGTCGCGGCCCGAATAGCCCAGTGAAAACGTCTCTGACTGTGAAGCTGAGGGACACGGGATCGAATCAGTCAGGGAGCACCAGTGCCCCCAAGATTACAGGAACACCTTGCTGACGAGTGCCAAGTAGCACGAAACTCGACTCCAGGGTTTCCTATTGATCACCTCCAACCACCATCTTATCTCAACATAGTGCACGCAGTGTCGAGCCACCTAGACTAGTGGCCACATTGCAACTTGATCGATAGCATTCGATCAACACTAAGAAGGACTTGATACGGATGACATTGATCACCACCCACTGGTCAATCAATTGTAATAGTGAGTCAATGTTTGAAGCGATTACATTTTGGTAAATAAATTGAGGTCAAATTTATTCCATTTATCTGGGCCTACATAATAAAGCTTTACAAATATTCTACATAAACAACTATCGCGTCACACTAGTTGAGTTTTACCGTATTATTAATCGGTGTCTCCAGAAGCACTAATCGCCTCCACTAACTCTCAGGAGGACAAAAGGAAGTACTACTAGTTAACCAACAGATAGTGTGGCTCAAAATCACGCACAGAAAAATGTCTTTTGTTAAATGAATTTATATGAAAAAATATGAAATTGAGACCTAACGCAATGCAAGACTGCTTAACTGAACTTTTATTATACCCCCAACAATAATAACCCTTGATTCACCTCCTAAAATATTCAGAAAAAAACCGCAACTTTTCTCTCAGCTCTAAACGACAATCAAACATTGGGAAATATACGGGCACTTACAAACATTTTTTAAAATGTGCGTAGCATACAGCGATTCTCATCACATGTTTAGGAGAGCCAGATTTAAAATGTACGTGGACATTATAAAAACCAAGCATGGTGACTATTAAGAACCTGTTTCTAGTTTAATTCTAAACAAATTTATAAGAAAAATTGCATTTCTAAAAGGAATTACAGTAGGTAATTTATTCAGACCTGTCAAAAATTTTTAGTAGAAACCTTATTTAGCATTCTCATCGTTATTTCGACAATGCTTACAACAACATGAGTATGAATTAGTGAAACTTGTTTTGTATGTGCTTCCATTGACAGTGAATTGAAACTTAACATATTACTTGTTATGTTTTTCAACATTAACAAATGTAAATGATAGCAATATATATATTCAATGAGCAGTTTACTATATTCCGTTAAAATAAACAATATTTTCAACCATATGTAGGCACAGACTCAAAAGGTTAAGGAAAATTACCAGGTTTATAATTTATCATTTAAAACGGTAAAAAGTTGGGTAGTCAAATGATTTATGTTACTGATTATTATGTAATTAAGAGTACAGTGAGAATCTAAAAAGAAAACGTCATATATTTTGTATATTTAAATAAATTATAATATCTTTACGAGTTATTTTCCAATTATAAACATCACACCTGAACTGGTGTTGAGGATATGGAATCATCAAATACAAATTAAGAAAACTTCTAGTGGCCCTAAATCTGAATACAGTTGGATCGTATGAATGATTGCTATGTAAGTATACATGTTGCCAGTCCTCGTATATAATCATCGACTTGAATCGCGTTAGTGAATAACGGGATTAAAATAATTCAATTTGTAAATCAAATGATAATGCATATGAACCCCAACCGCACTATGCTTTATTAGGAAACAGCTGATGGATAATACCATATATTGGGTGATCATGATGTACAATACATATCATGACGCTAACATATTCATTTAAGCCTACTGTATATTCTCTTCGCTACCTTCGCTTTATTCCTCTGATTGTCTGTCCAGATCAATGAGTGTACGAAATATACGAATTCTAAATCTATTTTCGTATTTGACTTATTTAATTCCGTTATTCACTAACGCGGATTAAATCGATAATTATATAGGAGGATAGTCAACATGAATATTTCAATAACAATCATTTGTACGATCAACCTGGATTCAGATCGAGGGCAACTAAACGTTTTACAATCACAAATGAAATCATTTCAGATCATTTTAACGATAGAGTCAACCTTGATTAAACCAATAAGCCTTGTGGAAAGAGATAGTGCCTCGACAGAGCACAATAGAATTATCTAAAATAAATCGATTAAAAGAGAATAAGATAGATTCAAAATAATGTTTGTATTAGTTTTTGTCTATGGTTGAAACCAAAATTCACTATACAAGTGCTTTAATCCAAATAAACAGTAAAGAATAATACCATAATAATAAAGGTATTAAAGGACCATACTTACATGATTATTATCAATAAACTTTTGATTAGCCAAAAACTTATCGATATCCTTTTCTAATAATTCCATTTCAGATGAATCAGAACGGTATTTCATATCATATGGTCGATTAATAGGTTTCACTTTGTTTGTATCATTAGTCAAAGAACGAAACCATTTGTTTAAAAATAGTGTTTTGTTTTTATTTGGTTGATGATATTGTTCATCTGATAAAAATTTGAGTAATTTATTACCACAATATCCAAAAGGATTTATCAGCTGATTAAATAGAAATACAAACCTGAATACAAATTTTTAAAAAAAGAAGATAGAACGACCATTTCATATGGTGCCTATTTATGCAATATAAAGTGAATATCAATTAATAGTGTTAAAAAGTAGAATTCCTGATGGTGAGACTATAATTTGTGGACAACATTTGAGCGACGCCAAAGTGACTTTGAGAAAATTCACCTGCTTATCAGGGTTTAATAAAGGTTATAAATTAACGTGAGAAATCAGGATCGGGATTTGCAGTTAGAGCTTGAAATTAGAGTAGAGGTTTTCATCACAAACTGAAATCAACTATGATACCGTAATGCTATTTGGTCAAATGGAAGAATGAATTTTGTGCCGAAATACAACATATACTATTTTAAATCTGATTGGTTCGTTCATAAATTATAGTCTCACCAATACTGACTATTGCATACTGTGTTAAAATTGGAACGTACTGATTGGTCTATTTTCAACCAATCAGAGGTAGTACCTACAATAAAGTGCTTAACACTTATGTAAACTTTACGAAAACGCTAATGCTTTCTACTACATAGTTACATATTGTTTGAGTTTATTGATATATATTTATAAGTAACAATACAACGGTTTGGTTTAATGAGTTCATGTTTATTGAGCATTAGAGAGAGAGTTATTTATTTATTTAAACACACAAATATTGGTACAAAGGGGCACCAGATACATATGCGCCACACAAATCTCATTTGATTTGTATGAGGGCTGTAATACTGCCCGGGTGCCCAAATCGAAGCAGGTGGTTTTCTTAAGGGGTCGGCGACCATACCACGTTGAAAGCACCGGTTCTCGTCAGATAGAGAGTTAATAATAAAACAATATGTTTATGACATCATAATGAACAGACATTTGAATTTTTAAGCGAATAAATAAACTTATTTACATTACAGAAGTGCTTAACATTATATGACAAAAATTGGGAAATTTGAATTATTTATTTATTGAGAATATCATAAATATATCATCATTTAGAATATATAAATATACATAGTTGGTTCTGATTTGGAAAGATTTGAATGAAGTAGTATTCAAGGGGAACTAGATAATAGAAAAACTTAACACATGTATACGTAAGCATAAACATTATAATTTACTAAAAATGTTATTATTATACAATCTGAAGTATCCCTACTAAGTATTAATCCTGACTTAAACAACATTAGACATACAGGTTATAATAACAAAACTAATATAAACCATATGATATTATTATAATTAATCTAGTGTACATTTTCTTACGCTAGTAGTGAATCGAAGATATACATAGAGGAATACTGAAACTACAGTAAGGTCAAGTAAATCAGCTTATTCAATGAAGTTGTGGATTAGAATATGAACAGCCGATAGGTTATGTTAGTTCATGTAGTTTAGAAGTGACCAGACCAAGACAGGATGGATTCATGAAATCAAGGACTCCTGGATATAGCTATGAAGAGATTTCCAAAAATCTTGATCTATTACAATTTACTCCCAAAAGCTATGTATAAATAAATGCAATAATTTACCAGATAAAGAACGGACTAAGTAACCGGGGACATTATGAAACTAGACATGAATCGATTTTGAACATTAATAACATCCATACATCGTAAGACCGACGTAAAACTAAACAGTAAGTTAGTTTTTTGGAACTTTATTTACCAAAATTAGAACAACATGCCTGCCAAAATGATAAAAAAGACATCAAAATATGCACTGAAAATAGTACAGATTTCGAATCACATTCTAAGTGTGAGGACTAGTGATACCACATGGTTGGGCAAACTGAAGTATGTTGAGTGTGTTTTGAACATTCGACTTGGTGACTAAATGTCGAGTATCTGGTTGAATAGGCCACCACTATATATATATATATATATATATATATATATATATATATTAATTTCATGTTCAAGAGGATAACAAAGATGATCAAATTACAAAGGATTCTAAAAAGGTTTACTATGGTTGTGCGCTTAGAGGATAGTTACTCAAGTCTCATAAAACGAAAACAGATAGAAAGGTGCAATATTGTACAATTATCAGTATTAAAAATGATGGTGAGTAGATGATTCTATGCCTACTAAGCAGATTTTAGAATAACCGAAAGTGTAAAGTTACGGTACATAAATAATTTAAGGAAAATATGTTAACAGATTGCTACTGGATAACTGAGAGTTCGGAACTCAATCAGTTTAATTAGATATAGAGTGCTGGGTAAAATCGCTTTCTACCACATAAACCATGTTCCTTAAAGTTGGGTACATAAATGTAACTTATTACACTATTCAGTAGTTAATAAAACGGAAATTACATTCAAGCATTAAACAGAAAGTATTAGGGAGCAGTAGATATACAACTCTGTAATTTATTTATATAATTAATTGATGAAGTTACATCTATTGATGTTGTAAATTGTATACATACAATCTAGTTATTGACCAATTTACGCCCACCAATGCTTGGTTCAATTTATTCTAACTTGTCCATCGACTGGATCATTTAATCATATATAACTCAATGTGTTTTTGACAATAGTTTTTGGAATCAGCGGTTTATCTACAGTAGATGTATGCTAGATACATAATAAGATCTTTAACTTCGTCCTTGTTTCGAGGTATATCAGTATTTGTTCAGTAGTAACGAAACAGAAAGTAGCCATTTTTCTACCGTTGTAACAAGTATTTATATCAATGGATGTTCCAATGGCAAGACCAAAAGTTCTATTTAGGACAGATATAATAAGAAGAAATATATTAATGCTAACAACATACATCAAGAACAATTTGTAAAATAAATATACACATATTTGCTTACCGATCATCATCGAATTTTTCAACGTGATGAACTACATTAAGTAACTGAAAGACATCTTTACGTGTCTGAAGTCCTACTCCTAAAACGTCGTCACTTTGATAAAAAGGACTAGAAGCTGTTAAGCATAATGCTAATAAACCAGGCATTTCAGGACGTTCAATAAGTGATTGCAACAAATAACCACATTGTCGAGCAATATTTTGTGTAAACTTCAAATCAGTGTCTAAATGATGATTTGATTTAATCGGAGTATCTTGCGTAAGAGAGACTTCATCATCTTGAGTAGTGATTGGTGCACAGGATGATAATAGTTCAGTACACTGAAAAAGAAGACCGATTGATTCAGCTGAAAGTGCACAAGATAAGAGGCTAATAGTGAAAAAGAAAGAAAGGAAAACAGAATAAATATTTGAAGACATCATATGATAGAAAATAACAGAAGATACACAAAATCTAAAATCAATGATAAAACAGTTAACTTACCATATATCAATATCCGACTTATTTGTAATCGAAGAATGACAATCAACATGTTGATTTTCATGTTGATCATTTAATAGAATTTCAACAAGTTGATTATTATCCAAATGATTATTAACTAATTGGCATAGAAAATTACTTAAAATAGGAATTTGAGAAAGAATATCTGATTCAGTCAAATTTAATGTAGACTCCGATGATGAATCAATTTGATAAAGATTAAGTAAATGTTTCAAGTGTCGAATTAGTAATTGAATTCGAAAGATATGACCTGATATAGAAAGTCGATCCCAGTAGCAATCATTTGTTGTTTTTAAAGAATCTGATAAATCTCCAATTTTGCGCAATGCTTCGACAGTTTTTACAAATAAAAAGTCACGAGGTATAGTGACACTTGGTAGATTTTTTGAGTCAGGCTAAAAAAAGAATAAATTTATTAAGATTATAATTTCTGGATAAAGAAAAGTAAACTAATAATACTTTATAGTAACCATAAATGTGTAATTAGTTAAAGGGATCTAAGAGCTTGTTATAAACTTTGTATATTGTTAATAAAGTACAGAATGAGTGACAGTGGATTACAAATCGTTGAACAGTATACAAACTAACTGACAGTGTGGTTTATTTATCAGGTATAGGTTTATGCATACAACTTCAAGTCACACTGTTTGTGTGGACTTTTTCCAAACCATAGTAGTTACAATGGTATTTGAACTAGTTTTACTGTATGAGTTAGAGGATAGCATATTCAGTTAGTCATACACAACCTAGTGGAAGAAAAGATTATGTACAAAAAAACGTATATGAAGATTTTGAGACTCTTGTTCTAAGGGAAGATAAAGAGTGAATGTACGTGCACCATTGAGAAAGATTTTAAGCCATGTCATTTTACGTCTCTAGCCATTGGTAACGATAATCACAAGGACACCAACCCGGTAGTCTATACCTGTTAACATGGCCCATTCCAATTGCCGATAACTTCATGAACTGGTTCTATGTCTTGGTTTGGCCACCCCGATATTTCTTCAAACCTAGCCCAATTGAGATTGACAACTAAGATGACAATTCGTCATAAGCTTTAGCTAGGCCAATAGTGCTCGATTAGGGATACTACTCAAGGTTGATGGACTTCTTTGGTGCAACTATAAATGATGCTCTCATAGAAACTCACGATCAACTGAGTCAAATGGTGCAAGACCACTATTGTCAAACGTCGAAAAATGTGTCTATGTTTAGAACGTGACGAAAGATGAATATTTGGTTTACACATCTAGGATAACGTACGTTGCTGAGAATAAATAAGTATGAGAAAATTAATAAGTATTTAAAAGGATCATTCACTGACCGAACAGATCAGTGGTAACGTATCAGACAGTGGAGCTGGGTGATTTTGATCCGAATTCAATAAGGAACATCAGTTCCCTAAATATTGAAGGTAATCTTCGTTGGCAAGTGACACCTAATACTGAGGGCTTCCTCTGACCACCTAACACCTCAACAGAGTTATTTGTAAAAGGCGAACACTAGGAGTCTAATATACGCGCAAATGGGTTCAAACCCTCTAAAAATTCACATCAGTACCTTGAGGTTGATGATATAATTGACTTACACCATCTAAAGCAGTTAAATATGGAAAAACGATCACAGATATTTCATAACACTGACTTCATGATAAATACAATAATAAATGAATTTCTGCTGCTTATTGATTTTTTAAAAAAAAGAACACCATAAAGCAGTGACAAAACAAAATATGAAATCAAAACATAGTTCGACTTACAATTCTTACAAGTTCATCTAACAAATCCAGAGCAGCTGAACCAATTAAATCATCCGATCCACCAGCCAATGTGAACAAAGTTAACAGTGAATCATTTGGTTGGTATAAATCATTATCCAATAATTGTTTTTCACTATGATTATTACCATTAGAAATAAAGAATAATTCACGTATATAATCATCAAGTCCGGAATTAACACAATTTTCCAAAAGTATACGTAGAAGATTAATTAACTGGGGAGAAAAAAGCATAACGGAATTTTTAATAGCATGGAAGATAAAGGTTTGTACTCTAGATGGATGATTTACGTGGAGTTCTGTTCTCTGAGACAAATGGTTTAATCAATTAGTTTTGATAGTGAATTTAGTCAACATAGCTGTTAACACACTAATCACATTTACGATTAGAATTGAAATTATCTAACGTTAATGAACATAATGTAAATTTTCTGCTAGATTGGTTAGGTTTTATCATGAATTAACTCAGGTTACAGGTATAGACAGTCAGATTCTGAATCAGTGGTCTAAAAGGGAAGTTGTATCCACTGTAAAAATTGAAGGTCATTGTGTGTATTTCAGAAATGTTTTAGAAATATGTTCTTTGGTGTTAGATCATGATAAAAGTCTTCAAATGAACAATTCTCCAGAAATTAACCATTTAAGGAAATACTTCCAGTGACAATGTTGAAAACTGGTTACAAACTAGATGACTCACGTTTTAGTAGGGTCCCTATCAGTGTATTTCATTTACAGAATCATAAAACTATTTTATAAAGGCAGAGACAAACGGATATAGAAAGACCGAGTTGAGTGCTAAAAGTACACGCCTGACAAAAGCACGATACGAGATAAATACTGAAAAACCGGAAGATATTGAAACAAACAACAAGGGACCGAAGTGGTCTACATTGAGAAATGGCAAACTATTTTCTTATATACATGAGGTAATTGAACATTGAGTCTAACTCCAGTATGAACGAATGATAATGATGGTAGTTGATTTAACGGATGAATTGAAATATTTTTCTCCCTGCAGTGTACTATGCTTATAATACGACGACCCGGTGACCTAATTTATAATACCGCTAGATTTGATACTCGAACGATCCGATATACACAGACTAGACTAGACTATGTCAGTGTTACGTCGCGAAATATAGCGTATTGCGACAGGAATACACGAAATTCTACCGGTTGACCAAATTCAGATATCCTAGTTCGACCCCAATACTGTTACCCAACTCCAATAAATCAGAACACAGCTGCTAAATGAGAATTGTTTATGGGGTCAGCAGCAGAACAAAAAGGGTTTACAGACAAGGCATATTTATACAGTTAAGATGACTATTAACAGTAACCAATGGAAAGGAAGGACACGTAAAGGTTATAATTAGGACAACTCAAAATTGACCAATAGGGAAACGACACATGAAAGTCATAGTTAGGACAACTGTAAATAATGGCCAATAGGAAATAACATGCGAATTATGTGAAGAGTCTGAAAACATACCACTTTACATTCGAGATAATTTTTGGGATATTCTTGTGAATATCCTAACAGTCAGACACCGGATTCATGACCAAAACTAGGGAACCAGAGTAACGCTAGATAATACTTTCTTTCACACAATTACAAGCCGTGACTCATTGAATCATCAGCAGAAATCAATAATAGGAAATGAAATTACATTTAATAGTCAGTAAGCTGCATGCCTATTTGTCGACACTCAGTGACCAACATACGTACTTTTACTATCACATCAATAATTTAATAAATATCTTACTTAACTACTAATATAATCCACGTTAAGGCGTTGAAATAAAAAAAGTCGGACACGAGAGTTTCAGATGAATAGATTACACACATTCATTCGGCAGACAGATGAAGAGAAAAATACATGTAGTAGGGTGGCATTAATAGCTTACTCAGGGAATAATGGGTAACTTATTCTTTATATAAGATGAATAATGTATAAATTACAGATAACCGATTAGAGTGTAAATGACAGACACACATAAAGCAACTACACATGAATGGATTTAACAAGATCACAAATAACAAAAGTATGTGGAAGGTCAAAAAGTACCTGACAAGGTTAGAACGACACAGTAAACGGATCGAGTTGCTAAAACAAAAACAGAAGTAAGCCCCCAAATGCCCTAATACGGCTGAGAGTGGGGAGAGTTTGCTCTCCCTCTCCAAATGCTCTCATATGGCAACGCGAATATATAGCCTCTGACAGGGAAGTCCTACTCACTGCCTTCTCGTGGCAGGAGTGTTGTTCACAAAAGTGAGAGGACGAAAAGCGAATGTCTGGTGCTTTGACCGGGTTGGTGGATGCGGAGGATCCACCTAGGGGAGTTGGAAAACCCTGATTTCAAACCAATGGTGCACATGGGATCCAGGATCCTGATGGAACGAATGGCGTATGAACCTATCGTTGGTCACCGGCTACCATGGGACTGCATCTCCTTACGATGCTCCTGCACTGCCTTGTGGACTAGACCTTTAGGTCAAAGGCTCAGGGTGTGGCCCCCTAAGAAAACCACCTGCTTCAGTCTGGGCACCTGGGCAGTATCACAGCCCTCACACAAATCTCATTTGATTTGTGAGGCTCATATTTATCTGGTGCTTCCTTGTACCAATATTTATGTGTTTAAATAAAATAAATAAATGACAAAACTACCATAAGATTTTATCACACTCGAAGCAAAGAACAACAGCTTTTTTAAGTCTTTAGTAGCACAGAACCCCACAGAACAGAGGTTTCAACATAACGATGGAGTTAAACTGTCTAACCAAAGGAGAATACTGCGCCAGAGTAGTGAGAACAGAGTACAGAAATAGATGGATGAAACCTACGGAGTGTGTCGAAGATTAAAAGTAACTGCTTTACCTAGCTTCGTCAAACATTGCTTTCTTTACAACTGTCTTGTACAAATTTAGTGCGAGAAACAGTTGTTAAGCACAATTTAACTAATCTGAATTGTACTTCATTCCTCATACACCACACACTTATAGATAGAGACCGTGTCCTCTAACAATTAACTAAGCTGGCAACTGAGACAAATTCCTGATACTGGAAGGAAATAATAGTCACACCATACCATACACTAACTGAGGTTGAAAAGTGTTGATCATTTAATTACAATTTAATAACTTAACAGTAACATGCTAGTTATGAACGTCTAACCTAATTATGTCGAATTTTATATTGATAAGTTAAAACCTTGGGTGAACCATTCGTTAAGTGCTCTCTGAGCTCAACTAGTTATCAAATGATTTTATATATCGATAAAAACAAATTAAAGAATATTTGAGACTGACCTTTAATACAAGTGATGTATCTTTGGCTCTTAATTGAATGACCATCTCTTGAATGAAGGTCTTATGAGCAGGGAAGCTGAAACACATACACACAATGATGATTGTGATTAAAGCTTGAAAGCGATAGTAAATATTTGATTAGAACAATAAAAAAAATTAAAGCCGAAAATCTCTTACATTAGTTGAATAGTCAGATCGATGCATAGCACGTTATGATATTCGCCAAATCCTATTACAGACAGGCCAGTGTAAACATTGTAAGCAGTTGCATGTCGATTGAAATGTTATTTACTCTCAAGATTTATATAACAAGCATATACATCTATACAAAAATGCCCTGCATAGTAACATTAATGAAAGAAGTTTTACGCGGAAAACACGGGAATCACTCTTTTTTTTGCTGTAAATCACAGTTATGTGAACTTTATTCATGCTTCGATAGTTATTTTGCAATCGCCAACTAATGTCATCAACATTGCATGAAAATACTAATACTTGTAATATTCATGTTAATAGTAGTAGTAATAATAAAAACACGAACATAACCAGTTCCGAGGTAATATAATCTACAGTTAATGGAATGTGTAACACAGAACTAGGTGAATGCTTCGAAATCATGATGAGATAATAAATAGTATCATGTAAAGAAAATATATTGACGATATGATGAATCAGCCAAATTTGAAGTACCAAGAATTAGATCTACCTTATGAAATACTCAATATTATTTATTCTGTTCAGTTGACATCTTTTCAATCTACTATTTACCTATATTTTTGTTACTAGATAGTATAGTTAATTCTAACTTATTGCTTATTTTACAGTGTATTTCATATTCTAATGATTTATTATTCAATTATTGAAAGTTGACGACAATTCATGTAGCATTAGAACTAAGAAAACTTCTCAACAACTAGAATTACCATATATTTGAGATTCTAATCTAATCGCCAGCAACCGTAATGATGCTGAAATATATTGGTACTTCTTAAAGAACATGATTAGTCGACAAAAACAAAGTGAAAAGTGTAAGTGAAGACTCGTTAGTAGTTTGATGTTACGAGTCCAAGAAAATACAGCTTTCACTAGTGAATTTTATGAAAACGATCAAGAAAAATAACCAGAGCTATCACGACACAATCAATAAAAATATATAATTTAAACCATGAAAACCAGATGGAGGAAAAGCAAGTAAATTACTCTTTCAATGTAGAACTTGATATGAAAAATGGATACAATAAAAGTATCAAGAAATATAGTAAACAAATACGGTTTAAGACATTAAATAGGAATAATATATTTTTAAAATCTCAGCGAATGAATTTGAAGTAAATCCAACGTTTTGTCTGGCCATCTGGTCCAAGCTTTTTCGCTGAGATTTTACAAATATATTATTCCTATTTAATGTCTTACATCAAGTTGGCGCCCAAATGCTGTGAAACTATTCGCTCTAATTTAGACGAAAGTTCTTATAAATACGGTTTAAATTGTACTTGTGTAAAGTCTAGGTATATTAAAGTTAAACATTGTATCATCGAATAAAAATAAGGAGTAATCAGCAAAGAAAAATTTCTTTTAGACGAAATCATTTAGTTCAGCTGTAGATTCATAATTATAGTTGTTTAGAAAATACACGAGTCTATAGAAAGGTGTGCATCTATAAATTTATTTGCTCTTCTGAGGTAGGTTACATTGGCCTCACAAAGCGATCACTTTCTATAAGCTTTTGGGCAGAGAGTGCAAAACTATCTCCAGCTAAACACAGGAGCACCTAATCAACTCTGAACACGTTGATCCAAAGGAGTCCTCCTTCAAAATAACCTAAACAATCAAAGAAACTGGATCAAGGTGAGGTTGAATCAAAAACTTATGCCCTGTCAAGGTGTTGGTAATTCACCGATTGAAGTCCGAACTGTGAGTTCAAAAACGATACGCCCAATTTCTCATCCTTCCTTGACCCTAGTTCCCTTCTTTAGTTTTTGGTCTTATTTTTATCATTATTTTGTAATAGTAATTTAATCAGTTATTATTATCCTCTAAAAAATTTTTCCACGATTATTACTTAATGGTTATTATAACCTTTCCATTTTTTATTTTTCTTTATATATGAACCGTAAATTATTTTCATGCTCCTATTTTCCTCTAACCCCCTGATTATTACGCAACCTCATTTGATATTTGAAATCTCGAGTAAATTAATGATGCAATCTTTTCTTTCTTTCTATAGACATATATTTACCATACAACTAGAATTATGAATGTACAACTTAACCAATTGATTTCATCGAAAAGAAAATTTTCTTCGCTGAATTGTCCAGAGATACTTATTTAAAGCAGGAAGTGTTTGCTTGAATCCAGTAACATTACGGGTCGAATTTTCATATTCTTACTGGTAGAATAAAATGTCTCTTGTATACACTGCTATTTTTGGGGATGAAAATGAATACTCTGAATTGATGATGCAGTGGCTTATTGGTCTATGAACTCGACTATAATTGTTTAGTTGAAGCTTAGAACTATGCTTTTTTTTACTTTCGTTTGGACAATTAAACTGTATCAATAGCTCTCAAAAACCAAGTACATGAATTTCTACTTGGATTACTGACTTGAATTAAATGTGAGGTGAATATTAAGATAGAAACATCTAATCGTCTACTAAAAGCTCGACTTACCTGGTGAGTATTGACGTAAAGAATTCAGGTTCTGCGCTTGAAAGATCGCCCAGAAGTTCACCAGCGCATAAACCACAAACACTGACATCTCCATTCAACAATACGTTAAATAAGACTTGAAGTGTCCTATGAGCATTTAAACCTTCGAAGAACTAGTCAGTGAATCAAATCATTTTGAGATAAAAAAAAGGATTTAAATATCTTTCTTGATATGATTCAATTTTGTAATAGATAGACTTATATAAAAGAAATTTATACTATAGTTATGCTCATGGGAATATGATTACATAGTCTACCTCCACTGTGGTATCCTGATGTAAACAGTTAACCTGTAGTAGACACATGTATGCTGTGCATGGGGGGGTGGTTCTATACAGGCATTTTTGTAAACTCAGTTAATGTAAGAATAGAAAGCTATCAAAAACTAACTGCATGAGATATAGCTGTTAACTTCTTACGTCATAATTTAGAGGTATCTTTTCTAACCGTTTTTTAGACAAAAATAATTTCCACTTGCCTATTCATTGAAGTCTCTTTCTGGTTTTTGGAATTATTTTGTTATCATACTTATAAATTAAACTTAGCTGTTTTTATGATTATGATACGCAGGCATGTCAATGCAGAAACTTACATACAATAGCCTGTAAAAAATAGCTAGTAGTGCCTGCATTTGAGCAAGTGTCAAAAAGAAGCTACTTTAGGATTGTCTAAAAACAAGGTGTAAAATTGGAATTGATATTATCTTTGCAAACACATGGAGACAGGTAAAATAGTGTATAACTTTCGAACAATCATGTATTAAATCCTGTTTTCATAAGTGTAAACAATACATAGATTCAACAAAAGGGGAAATATAGAGATATAGAAATTCGAAATGCCTGGTATCTGTAGGGTTAAGGATGACAGATTAATATCATACCTTGGTTTAAATACACTAATATACTCAAATACATAGGGATTTATTTATTCACTTTTTTGCGCAGATTCACAATCTTATAAACCAACTGACTACCATTATCTAAAAACATATACATCGTCTTAGTGGTTTCACTCCACAAAAAGGAAACTTTTGAAATGTATACGATAAAATATTTTTACTCTTTTAACTTGAAAGTTCAGCAATCATGTTTCGTAGGAGCTTAGTAAACCAGAAAACATGCAGGATTGTCACCCCTACATACGAATTTGTAGGTGGAAAGCAATCAATTTTTTGTATTCAAAACCAGTTCTATCCACCAATTTTTTTTTCATGAAGTCAGTTGTAGTGAGCTTTTTAGTATCAATTAGTATCAACCTGAAAATTGAGTTAATCAAGAACGTTTGTGATTTTTTACGGTCAGTTATTATATATGTTGTTATTTCTATAATGAATTGGATAAGATGGAAGGCTACACTATTAAGATGAGAACTGATGTTATGTCCTGACAAGGATTTAGACTAAGTAAACAAGAACAAAAAACAGTATGGTTAGATATGAAGGGGTGTGATAAGTTTATCAAAAAAGAGATACTCAAACTTACTTTGTCAGCAGAATTCCATAAATGAAATCTCACAGCAACAGAGAAAACCAAAGCAGAACGGCTTACTTGATCTGAACTTATTATACGAAGTAGGCAACTGCGTAATGCTTCAAAATCTTCCTATGTCATTTATATAAGTAATATACTGTGAAAACTACCTTTTTTGTTAATGTTTGTTTCACAAGATTTGAGAAATGAGATAGATTCGCCAGTATACCAAGAGCTGGTTCTAGCAAATCATCATTTGAATGGATAATATGAATGATGTAGTTAAGTGCACAAGAAAATAGAATCGGTTCAATTGGTACATCTAAATTATGTAAATTTTCAGTGTATAACTGTAATGCTTGAAGCAACTATTTGTAGTTAATTTAAACATGAACACTAATATGAAATACCTTTATTTTATCACAAGTTATAGAATCCGAAATAACGCCATAAATCAATGGCTTTAATATAGAAAAGTATGTTAAAAGTTGATATCGTGTTTGGATATTGTTGCCTAAAATAATATGTAAATAAGATAACAAACAACTTACCAAGGAAAATAATGAGATCAATAATGACATTCTGTGTAGCTGCACAGTATTCGTCACAAAAACCAGCTGTTATGAGGGAGTTTAGAGCTTTTACATCATCGGCAGAAGTTAATTTTATGAGAGTATTCGGAGATTGTATGTAGGTCTGTTTAGGATAGGTGTGTGTAAAGGAATAAAAAGATATTAGAGTTATCAAACAATTGAGAACATAAGATGAAACTACATAAGCGTCCAAAAAAGTCGGTTTAGAAAAATCGACAATTGTTTAGTAAAATTTGATTCACATAGGGTTGCTATCTTTTTTGGTGATTTCTAGTGGATATATAAAATATATTTTTAGCCTGGTTAGAACTCTTGGATAAGAACCATCTACTGATAAGACAAATACTTAAGCGAAGAGGGAAACAAATGAAAAGTACACATTTCTAATATTTTAAAAATCTAATCAAGGGTTTACTTACACTGATCACTGTTGGTAGACTATCATAATTCTCCAATGACTTGCAATCTTCCCAGCATTTTAAGACCTCCACAAAATGCATTTTAGCCATCCACTAAAGACCGGTGTTTGAGTGATCAGTAAAACACCTAGCTCAAAATAAATAAACGAACAACAAAAACAATCTGAATTTGAAAAACGGAACGTATGACAATATGCTCGTATAATTAAATAACAAGAGACCTTCAGCTGACTTAAAATACAGGGGATGGTGTTTGGGAACAGCACTAACTGTTTGGAGACGAGGTCCTTTAAATTATTAAAGGTAACATCTACAGGATGATGATGAAATTATTTGATAGCAAAGGTGTTTTTTTCTGTATCAGTTTACTATTTCAAGTAATATAACAGGACTGATTTCTTTGGTTTTTGACGTTTGTTCTGGAGAGCTTTCGAAAACGCGGATGTCAGTAGTTAAGTAATTTTTTCAAGTTGTGTTTTAACAGTATAAATCTACAGGTATCTTATATAGATTTAAACATGTGAATTGGATTACGGTTTAATATGGCAGTTCAATTGGCTTTACTCGTAAAATTGAAAAGTTGGTACATCAGGATTAGTAAAAATGAGCTCGAGTTTTTCAATAGAGACTGGTTTCTCGATGAGTAGTATGAGAAAGATTAGGATGAAACATGAAGATAAAATCGAACGGAGGTTTAAAGTAAAATGCATCTGTTGATAATAAAGTAAGTATAATTATAGTCTGTAATGACTAGCGAAGTTGAGTCTATAAGATTGGTAACAATAACATAGCTTAATAATTGTAAAACTCCACCTGGATCCCCTCTAGGATTACACTCAGTACCAAGCCAAAATAAAGAAGGGTTAAGTGTATGACTAGCAATCCCAAATCGTAAAAACCGGCAAAGGTGAAAACAGTGGTTGGTTAATGCAATTTTAAGCAAACTACCGTCAAATGAAACTTTATCATTGATAGAGCTAAGAACAGAAATCACGTAAATAATAAGGGTTAATAAACGTCAACAACACTAATCTGGCAGATTCCTATGTGGTGCGGATGTATAGATTTGATATCTCCCTCGACGTAAATGAGAATCTTTTTAGGAACACGGTCGTTGCAACATTAATGATACCCTGATATGTGATACTGATGAGAGTTTCACAAATTTCAGTGGGGTGAATTCTACATACGTCCAAAAAAATAGCGTATCGACAGTAGGGTACTTGCATAGCCACATTTAAGACTTTCTAACATTTGTCTGTCATTTACGTTATCGTCTTCGCATGAGGTTACATCCAGAATATACAATATTTAGTCACAAACAGTAAAGAAATGTGGTTTGCGGAAGGAGTGCAGTGTTCGTGCGCAGGGGTCTTGAAAAAATCTAGTGCCTTTTTCATAACTTTTGGGCTAATCGTTTACAAGTATAACTATATCAGCGTCAGTGAACGTCATGGGCGACAGCATAATGCTGTAGAACATATATACTTTTATGACGACAGTTCTCACGGCATCGAGGCTGCGCGCTGAGAAATCTGACAGCATTCATATACAATCGCGGTGTCAGGGAAACACAACTAATTGCAAAATGTACCGCATTTCTTTAATAATATTAAGCCATTGACATCATTTAATGCGTACGACTGTTTCGTCTAGCTTTCATTGACTTCATCAGTAAATTGGATAACCTCACAGTACACGTGGTTACGTGTTTTCAGTCAGCTACAACGTAGGACCAGGCACATATATGCATCGGTCCAAGTTGCCACACCTCACTAGCACAATGAGATGAACACCAAATTCATAGAGGTAGTTACTTCAATGGTAGTAATATATAAAACAAAGATTGTGTATGGTACAGGGAGAACGAGTTCGTACAAACCAAGATATAAAGCAATTTTAATCTCATAGTTTAAGAGAAGACAGAAAGTGTATACACCGACGCCATTTTGATCGATTCTGAGCCATGTCACTGAGTCTCCAGCCATTGGTTACGATAGTAGCGAGGACCCCGACCAAGTAGTCTGCATCTACCAACATGGCTCAGAATAGAAGTTAGTGACTTCAAGCACTGATGCCACGTTTTGGTTTGGCTGACCCTAACTTTCTTCCAACCATCCTCAATACTAGTCAGCATTGTGTCATGGTAATCGGTGGCTCGGCATACGTAACAAGTGGTCCAACAATCCGAGTTGATGTAGATTTGCAACTTCACCAACTGGTTTACCATCATTCCCTAATACCTTGTGTCGAACCTCACTATTACTTATCTAGTGATCCTAGCAGATGCGAGAAATATTACTAAGACATCTGTGGTCAAATACTAGTAACTTACATGTATTTTCTACTCTTAATGGCCACATCTCGCAACCGTAAAGTAGAACAGAAAGAACTACCGCACAGTATACTCATCCTTTATTTGAAAGACGGATATCTCTTCTTCACCATAAATGATGTTAGTTGGCAGACGCCAAACGAGCTTTCTGAATCCGTGCAAGAATTTCGTCAGACACCAACCCATTAGGGCTGTTACGTAGGGGAAAAAGAGGAGTTAATGATGGGGATGAAGCCATCATACAAATAGTAGGGCAGGGACTTCACAGGAGCATTCCGAATTATCAGAATAACTGAGGTGAAACGGGGTACTCGGAAACCACCAATCGAAGTCGAGAAGATGTAAGTTATTGTTGGGTCTGTGAGGAAAAGCCACTAGAGTGCGAAGGCATGGATTGTTCTGTCAATAGTCTTAAACGTATTTTGTTGACTACTCCTAATGTAAGGAGATATAATAGCTTTGATATTATATCTTTCCTTAAAATCTTCATACATTACTGAGGTTTCAGCGGAGCAAAATGTATATTTGCCAGATATTCCCTCAACATTTCGATGTGATTCGACGGGGATTTGACCATATTCTAAGAAACTCAAAGTTATCACTTATTGATAGCTGATGGATGGTTGCTTCACCAATCAAGAACTGGGTTGATGTAAAGGTCGTTAGTTTACTGTGACTCCTGAAGATTAAGTCAATCTTTTTGCTTTTCGAAACGTTAACGCAGAGTCCAGCTTATTTAGTAATGCTGCAATCCATTTAGGCTCCAGTTGTAATATTTTAAATTCAGTGTATAAGCTATGTAATCTAGGAGCTCACCATTGGTACACAGATGAGTCATGGTGTCAAGATTTTCCAGTTTCACTAAGAACCATTATAAATAATGGAGGAGAAAGAGTATCTTTCTGTTCGATCCTACGATACATATACCTAGGCACGATATGTTTCTCAGTAGTGAACCATTTTGTAAACAAACGTCAAGGGACAATTCGCTGGTTTTTTCGCTGTAAATATGAGTTGCATACACATAAGAAAAACAAGAGTCAATGAACTATGCATTCCTAGCATAGACATAGACGTAAATGTTTTATTAGGAATTTCTACTGTTGAAAAGGGTAGGATAGACTCCCAGCTCCTTATATTAACAAGGATATTGTAGAGTGAAGATGGCTTAGCTCTATTACTCATACACAGCAACGAATACAAGTGAAGATTGCCACTGTAGCAGCGACTTCCACAGTTGTGGGTCTCAAAATCTATAGGGCTAAATCCTGAAGTACAACCCAGTGACCAGCAATCAAATCACACTTGATGACAAAGCTCTGGAAGATATGAAAGCCTTTACATACCTGAGTAGTATTATTAATAAACAAGCAGAATCTGATACATATGTGAAGGTACAAATTGGCAAAGAAGCAAGAGCAGCATCCACACAAAAAAAAGTATTGGGAACCTAAAAGAACTGTCACCCAACAAGAAAGTTAGAATTTGCAACAGAAACGTTAATATAGTTCTATTCCATCCAACTGAAACCCAAAAACTACCACGAACACCAAGAAAAAATTACAGATGTTTATAAACAGCTATCTACGCAAGATACTCCAGATCCATTGACCAGAAACCATAAGCAATAAACTACTCTGACAGAGAACAAACCAGCTGCCAGTTTAGCAGGGAATTAGAAAAAAACACAGGTATATAAGATATACTTCACGGAAACCATGAAAATGAATCATAAGGCAAAACCTAACTTGCAATTCTCAAGGGAAGAAGAAGAATGACAGACCAAAGAACACATCTTGCCGAGGTTTGGAGGCAGATATCAAAATCATGAATAGCATATGGCAACAACTGGATATAGGGGTCCAGGATAGGGTTGGCTATAGACTTCAGGTTAGTGGGATACGCCTCAAGAAGGGTAACAAGCCTAACGAGGTAACCAAGCAATTACAACTCGATGTTTACAGCTTTGAGGTAAGGTTTTATTATGTAAGGGCCACTGATGCTACCCGTCTGCCTAAACTAAAGTAGGTGAGGATGAAACTCAGTACCTTGACATCTGAGTTTCGCTAACTAAACGGTCATAAAAGGTTAGTTATTTATTGCGACCAATGATAATGATATGATGCGTTTAATGTATCAAGAATTATGTATTTAGCTTAAAATCACATTAGGTGAGGGCTAGAAATACTACACGGGTGCCTGGTCAGAAGTGTGGCGGAATTTAAACTTGTGAGTAGTCGCTGAAAGAAAAGTTCTATGGTCACCCACTACACATGCCCATGAATCACCATGTTAACTAATAGCAGAAGCGATATTCAAGCAATGACTTCCCTCAATATAATGTGGGAATGTTTATTGGGAATATATCCACACTTTGTGTCATACAGTGTAACTTGTAGGTAGACTTTAGTATCTCGAGTTACATCTGTTCAGTTTAGCTGCCATCGTTTTACAGTATGCAAGAAATGACAAGGTGGAGACCAAAAGATACGTTTAAAAAAATAGATAGTTGCTAATGTATCAAGCTTAGCAATCAGAAATGTAGGATACTGTATTATAGAAAGTTTTAAAATTTGGCAGCGCTGAAAATTGAAAACTAGTAAAAAGACACGAAAGTCAGGAGAAATAACGATACTAAAGAGTTTTGACAGATAGATGCAAACTAATAACTTTTCGGTTCCTAAAAGATCCGCCAATTTATGTACTTGGCAATAAAACCCCTAAGATGTGACTGAAATTTGGAAAAGTTTGTGGTATAATCACGTAATTGTCCTTAAAACATCTCAATTTAGTATCAGTTTAATTGACATACAATAGGAAATGAAGTTTTCCACCAATCTACCACTGATAGAGTGGAAGATGTTCGGTTTTAAGTATAGATTTAGTCTGTGGCTGCATTTAGAAATTGTTTGAAAACGTTAGTTCGTCTGTTTATTAACAGCTACGGATTTTATCACTAAAAATTGTAAAGGTCGTGACATTTTACATATTGGACTCTCCACGTGGTCAACACCCAAGAAGTCTGCAAATATCACAGATATTAGTAAGATTAACAAGTGTTTATTGACCCGAGTAAAGAATGGTTACGTTTAAGGAAGGGTGTTATTAAGCGACAAGTGACAGATAGGATTACAGCAAATATCCGTGTTGCGTGCGGTGTACTGAATTACTGAAGTAATTTAGAAATGTAAAAGACACATCCTATCAATTGTTTATTCTAAAACAAATACACTAGGTGGAATTAAATTATAGGAACAATTTAAAATAAGGTTAGGTATTGACATCAGAAGTTAGGATTATGGGAAATAGTAGAAAATTATGGACACGGTTTTCATTAAGAACTACACAAGCAAACTATAAATGGGAAATAAGGGAGACTCTATAGGAAAATAAGGAGGAAACGAGACAGTCTGCTTTTTCGCCTGCTGAGGAGAAATAGTGAGACATTACCCATGTTACAACGCTGTCTATGGTGTAAAAATGTTCCGTAGTCATACAGATGAACCGATTCAAAGCAAAGAATCCGAGAGGCGTTATATTAGGTTACATCAATTTGCCTCGATGCGTTTTCTCCATCGTTAGGCGACACACGTGCTCTATAAAGTCTACTCAATCACCACTATAAAGCGACTGAAGCAGATAACTTGCATTCCTTGAAGTATAAATTCAGGCAATAGGTTTGCCTTTACATGGCTCTAAAATGGGTTTTTTTTCAGAATTACAAAACTATATAATATATATCATGCAGAATAGTTGGACCTCACACAGGTTTCATGAGACAAATTATTTGTACCACACTAGAAAAACCGTATGAAAAGTATTCGCATCAAATTTAATCGCTAATGACTATTCTTACAATGTTTGAATTATGAGTATTGTCTAACACGAAGACGTTAATTCCCCAAAGCCCGCCAAAGAATTCCTATTTTAATTATGGACAACGTTCTGTTGTACTGAATAGTGATACACTCAAACACCAAAACTCCTCTGAGTAAAATTAAATTAACTGTTTGTTCTTAAGAATATAGATCTTGATAGCCATTGAAGTTCTGTTGTTGTATTTGGGTGTAATTTCTTTTTTAGTTCCTCATATGCTCAGAGATAAAAAAAAAGTTTGATTGGTTATAGAAACAGAGATCGAGGGATAACAACTACAAAAGTTTCATTCAGTACTTTCAGAACTAAATTCGGCGTTATTTGTTTGTAAGACTCAGCAAGTTTCAATTCTGATACCTTTCATCTAGAAATTCAAAGTTCACACATAACAACGAACCAATTTTTCGTAACTATATGCGTTCTTGTGCATATTCTTTTCTAAATGTAAACTATTCTATTGGTAACTAATGTTGTTGGTAATCTAATGGATTGTTGGGAATCGTGAGTGATGAGATACATTATAATCGTATTCTTCGTGATCCTGGTGTACTGTATAGGTCGGGATCACAATTCCATCTCCCTAATAAGGTTGACTTCTTACTAAGAACATGGGCCATCCTAGTTGCCTTACCATGATTTTGTGCCTGAAAAGCGACATCTTTTTTTTAAAAGAGGGATATATAATAACGTAGAAATCACAATTGATTGATCACTGGGTGGTGATCAATCTCATGCGTGTCAGGTCATTCTTAGTGCTGATCGAATGCTATCGATCAAGTTGCAATGTGGCCACCAGTCTAGGTGGCTCGACACTGCGTGCACTATGTTGAGATAAGATGGTGTTTGGAGGTGGTCAACAGGAAACCCTGGACCCGGGTTTCGTGCTACTTGGCACTCGTCAGCAAGGTGTTCCTGTAATCTTGAGGGAACTGATGCTCCCTGGCGGATTCGATACCGTGTCACTCAGCTTCACAGTCAGAGACGTTACCACTGAGCTATTTGGCCGCGACCGACCTCTTGTAGGACTGAGATCTAATCACAATTGATTGATCACCACCATCCTACCTTTCAACATAGTAAATGAAATGTGCGATTACTAAGGCCAGTGGTTACATTGCAATTTGATAGATAGGATTAGATCAGCATCGAGAAACATTTAACATACACGACATCGGTCACTACTCAGTGACCAGTCATTTGTAAGTTACGATTTCAATTTGATTGAAAACTTATACAAAAAGACTCATTGGAATTCTGAACCGATCAATGTTAGACCACCATTGAAACCTGGAAGCACTAGATGGCTGTTTCGTCATAGCATGAAACTCCTCAGCAGTGCACATACACGACTCTGCATGCGGTAACCCAATTCAGTACTTTTGCAATTAAGTGAGAGCATTTAACACTTGGTCGACTGAGCCGGAACCCAACGGTGTTAATGTTCAACTTTTATCCATTCACGATATCAAACAACCATGTTCCAACGGCCGTTCAGTGCTTCCAGGCTTTCACAAGTGGTTTAACATTGATCGTTCCACGATTTCAATGGAACTTAACAATCTCCACAACCCTAATATCGATAAATATAGAAAACGTTATTTCTGTTGTGTAATTCTTTCTGATTATCATGCTAATTAGTGACTTTCTTATGATTCTACGACTAAGTGAGAGACTATAGCAACTCTCCTACAATCATTTTTTAGCGGTTAACTTTTGTCATGTCGTTTTATTAACTTATTTAACAGACAATGTTATTCTAACAGTAACAATTCGTCTATATCTTTGCATTATTATGATCACTATCATGTTTGTATAAACATGTATGCTTGATTACATGTGACAGCCTACGCACATATCTCTCCCTAGCTTAAATGTTGATCGCTTGAATATTGCTCGATGAATCATTCTCTTCCCCATGTATATATGTGCTCGAATCCTATATTAATAGCTTTTGCTTTGTTGTGCCCTTACCGATCTGACTATAAATTCGCATCTGTATTCGCTGGCTAGCACATATTAGCTTCTCTGCTCCAGATTCACTCAATGCGATTGTAACTTTGTTATCCACTAGTAAACTGTAGTCCCCACTTCTTATTGCCTTTTGAATCCAAACACAGTTATCAAAGTGATTGATTAACGAAGCTAAGCCATTACAAGACAATGTGTTCTAGAGAGCAATTGTATTTGTTCTCTAATACAATCAATTTATCACTGTAAATTTGTTCAGGAAGTTCGTCAAAAACTAGCTTAAAGAAAAATTTATTTCAAATGAAAATCTTTCAAAAAAAAATGCACACAATGAGTTTAATCCTATGATAAGTTATGCAATTTGAATTGATAAAACTTACTTGTAATAGACGAATTTTGTATTCATACATGGATAATGTTAATTTAATATCATCATCTGTAGTCTAATAGAAAGAATAATAAAAACAATGCAATATTTATGTGCATATTACGAAGTATAAGAAATAATATTTTAAACAGAGTGATTTACGATGAACAAAGAATATAAAAAGCACAGCAACGGCTAATTTAAACAATTTTTATAGATATTAGTAAATATCTCAAAAGAAGACCACAAATATATGGGATAGTGAGTCGATGGCATTTGATCAGCACTAAGAATGACTTGACACGCATCAGAATGATCAACACAGTGGTCAATCAATTGTGATTACATCTAAGTCCTACAGGAGGTCGGTCGCGGCCCGAATAGCCCAGTGAAAACGTCTCTGACTGTGAAGCTGAGGGACACGGGATCGAATCAGTCAGGGAGCACCAGTGCCCCCAAGATTACAGGAACACCTTGCTGACGAGTGCCAAGTAGCACGAAACCCGGGTCCAGGGTTTCCTGTTGACCACCTACAACCACCATGTTACCCTAATAACGTAGTACTTTTTCGTATATCAGTTTAGGTAACAACTGAAAACTTTTTTGCACAGTTCAAGGATTGATCAACCTGAAATTCTAGAATGATACTTCAAGGGCGCACACATTAAATTGGATAAAAAGTGACAACTGAGACAGACACATTTTATTTGTCCCATAGGATAATACGAGTCACCTTCTTCTGCGGCAAATATAACTCCAGAATCACCGAGAAGTTACGTGTTTGGTTCTTTGCTGCTGTTAAGCAAAAGTACGTTTCTGGATCATCGGTCATTTTTACTGTAATGACTTGAAACAAGACCGATTTGTTAGTGCGGTGACGTGAACCATTTTCGTATTTTGACAATGTCCACGATTGCTTGATTAACTGTTTACTTTCACTTACTGAAACATGATGAAGCAACTACATCTGCACACATTTAAAAAATGGGACCGCTGCTAGCCACTAATTGAGTGATATCCAAGATATTACCAAACCTCACATTTTCTTAATTCTGTGTGAAAAAATAAATTTAAATGATTTGAGCTAGCGATTACTCACTAATCCTATGTGTCTGTATAATTTGCAGAAATATAACTCATCCCAGTATTAATCACTTCATTTTTAATTCAAATAGCGAGAACAATCATAACTGAATTAACAATAACGATAGTCTAACAAGTGAGGCGATTGCGGTTCATATCTCACATCCACAACAGACAGTAAGATTAAATTATGCGGAACGACAGTTTTGCGAACTGAAGCTGGGAAGCGGAATATTGTCGATCACCACCGATGTACAATTTCAAAGATGACTCAAAAAGTACTAAATCATTTGCATGTGCCTGTTATTCCTCGTGGAGGAGTGTGGGCCGCCCATCAGCACATTCCATCCGACTCTCTCCTGAGCAATCCTTCCAGTTGCTACTTATCCTCTTCATGTCTGCTTCCAATTCCTGATGTAGCGTGTTCTTCGGCCTTCCTCTTTCAAATTTCCCTTCGAGATTCCAAGTTAGAGCTTGCCTCGTGATGTAGTTAGATAACTTCCTCAATGTATGTCTTTTCCACTTCCAACGTCTTTCCCTGATTTTCTTTTCAGATGGAAGTTTTTTTCTCTATCTCACAGTAGGCTGTTATCCGGTCAACGGATATTGAGTATATTGTTTAGACAATCGGCCATAAATGCTTGTTACTTGTTGATGATGGTTGTGGCGGTTCTGTAGAATTATGATTAACTTCGTCATTAGTACTAATATTATAATAGACCTAGTCCTATTACTATTGATATGTCATGGTGTGAAAACGTGATCTATAAGACTTTACGTGGGAGTAATATCATTGTCTACTCTGACTTGTCATATCGTAACAATCCGCGATATAACGTTTGATGTTTTTAAATAACACATTCAGGCTAAAGATAGATAATATATAATATGAATTAAGACAGAATGACCAAATGTGCATGGCTGAGCCATGCCATCTGATTGAATTTATTTGAACTGAATATTCCCTGCTTCTCCATCGTTGGTCTTCTCTCTGTGTTAGATGTTGAATATCTATTTTATCGGTTATCTCATGTTCAGTTTGGCGGATTGTGTCGTTAGTACCAATATCACAACAGTTCTCCATGTCTCAGCCCCGTATCATAGATATGTGTTGATGTTTATATTGAAGATTTTGACCCTGATGTTGCCTGACATTTGTTTTGAGTTACATATGTTGTTCAACTGTGGGAATCCCGACATTGCTTTGTCAATCCGTACCTTTACATCCACATTAGATCCTCATGTTCATCGATGATGCTGTACAGATATATGAGTGTTTCTAACACTTTCAGCGTTTCTCCGTCAAGTGTGGTTGGGTTGGTGTTTTCCGTGTCTTATTTCAAAATCTTGGTTCTCTTGTGTGTGTTGAGGCCTACTGATACAGAGGCTTCTGTCACGCTAGTTATCTTGACCTATTGTTGTTATGTATAACACAGAATGGTTAGGTCATCTACGAAGCTCAAATCGACATACATGTAGCTTTGGGGAAATGTCGACTGATCATACCACATAGAACTAGATCGATCGTATATGCATCAGTAAAAAAATTCAGAAGGTCAATGGAAGACAACAGAACCGGAGGAGGAGCTAACTTCCCTTCAGACTACGACCTGGTGGTTACCAATATTCAAATAAAGCTGAAGGAGGCCTGGACAATTTGAGAAACATCATTACCAAGGTATAATATAGCCTTCCTTTGAGATGAAGACAAACTCAACGAGTTAGAAACATGTGTCAGCAACGGCTTCAGTTCTCACAAGATCTACTCTTAGGAGAAGAAACTGCTATATTGGACAATTTGAAAGGTATCAAACAAGCACTGTCTTCAACGTACCAGGAAAAGATGAGCTACAACAATCACCATCATATAGAATGGATCCCTATTGAAACCCTGCACAAAATTCAAGAAAAGAAGAATGAAGACAGTAATTAACAACAGTCAAACAAGAAGAGAGATAGTCAAGGCATAGGCTGAATACACTAAAGCAAGTAAAGATGGGCATTAGAGCCGACAAACAGAAATACATGGAAGACCTAGCAACGACTGCGGAAAAAGCTGCAAGCGAAGGGAATACGAAACAACCATATAACATAACGAAGAAACTGGTAGGGAAATATAGTGAACCAGAGAGACCAGTCAAGGATAAAGAGCGCAAGTGAATTACTGAAATTCAACAACATAGGAACAGATGGGCAGAATACGTTGCGGAACTATTGAATACGACAGTTCAATTGAATTAAAGGATATCGAAGCAGCGAATACGCCTTCCTGTAGTTGTCACTCCACTAACGATCATAGAAATCAGGATGACCATCAGACAGATCAAAAGTGGGAAATCAGTAGGATCTTACAATATACCCACTGAAGCACTGTAGTCAAACATGACTCATCTTCTATTCAATAAGATTTGGGGGGAAGAACAAGTGCCACTGAAGTCGGAAGATCCTCGAATTCCTCTGGGAGTCGAAGTAACATTCCGTAAACGAGTTCAGTTGGAGTTCATCCAACGTCAGCTTTCGACGTATTACGAAAAACAAGTAACACGAGTTAAGGAGCGCCAATTCATTGTGGTACGTTTGCATCTGAGGGTGAGGCTTTCAACTGTTGTTGAAATCACGCTACCGGAACGTTAGCTTGTGGATGGCAGGCGTTCCTTAGGAATCATGTGTTGCCCAGAAGTGTAGTTAGAAAACAGAAAAGACCAGATACAAAATTACATTCACATGTTTAAGCAATAGTTGAATGACAGCCTAAGTATTCTACCTATTGTTCGAAGAAGGCGCGAGTTTATAGTGGTGTTGGTTCTAACTACACGATCCTCGAGACTGAACATGTGATGACTGAGAAAATTCATACTCAACATTTATCACGGAAGGAAAATCCGCGGTAATGAACGCAGCAACACGGAATCGAAACGGCATGGCTCGGTTAAGTGGGCGTTGTAATAAAACTTCCCGCTTACTATGTCAAATATCTGACTTTCTACCTAACCCAAAAGTGTTAAACGTCATATTGCTGACTGTCACGTAGGACGAGTCAGTGAACACAATGTTATGACATCCACATAAGAATTTATGGATTGAGTAATCACATGACAAATTTATAACTTTGAATTTAGGTCTATAATTATAGTAGTACTAATACCAAATAGGACCAACATTTTCAAATTACTGATTCAACGGTAATGTCTTTGGTTATAATCGATTCGTGCCGTTGAGTGGAACGGTCCATATGGGCTGTCGCCGTCGAAATATCGTTGTTCTTACAGGGAATGTCATTCAGTGTAATGAACTATCCTCAGTTGTCAATTCAGAGTGAGTGTACGAACACAGGCAAAGGAATCTGTTTATTCAGCAGTTACAACTAGTTCATCCATTAGTAAGACAATACTTATGTGATTCTAATCACAACTGTCTGAATAACAATAATAGGAATGAATGTGTTCATACATTCGTTGGATATTCTTACTAACTCTAGATTTCGATAGCGAACTGCAGATTCCTCATGAATCAACCGCGAACAAGGTCAAAACATGGTGAAACCAGCTCCAGAAGCAGTATGTAGGCCCAACTAAACAAGATTAATGGCTCACCGTCTCATCTCACGTGACTCGTGTCAGGAGATAAGAGAGTTTGTTTAAATCTGGTAAGCATCCCATCAAATAAAGATGAGTATGGTTGAAAAAAGCGTCACATGTTGTAAAAGAACAACGAGGCATTTACTGTGTTTGTTCATTTTATAATTCTGGTAGATTACACGAGAACATGCTCACTCTCTCATGCCTTTACCCATATCAGCGAAACACACGTTAAAATAGACGTACCTCAAGATGTACGTAGGATTTTATTTTCGTTTACCGCCCGGTAGTTAGAAAACGAGCTTGCAGACGATCGTTAGTTTTCTCAGGTTGATTACCAACTTCTTCGCGAATGCCAGCAAGATGCTAGATCGTTGTCATCATATCACTGATGCATAAAGGTTGATTATACAGAGAGGCTTTGCTCGCCGTCAACACGTGTGTCGTGACAAGTGTGAGGTTGGGGAAACTCAAGGGCTTAACTATCCTTCCCAGAAGGTTCGTCATATGTGTTAAATTACCAGAGGTCATTTAGGTTATCTCTTTCTCACGATATGGAACAGATTTTTTTCGTCACAAGCTTCTGTGAACAATTTCGAACTATTCGCTGTTATGATGAATGTTAAGAAAACGTGTGAAAGCGTTACAGAGATTATATGCTTAATGCTATTACAAGTTAACCTTACTTGGTAAATGGAATGGAAATCAAAGACACAGCGACACGATAGGCTATTCTAAGCCGTTGTCCCTGGCACCGCCAAGTAGATCAAGAAGTTTTAATGAGGCTTAGAGAACGTATTCTACAAGCACCCAGGAAATACGAGGTCACTAAGCATACAAATCAAGCTCATTAATACAATGATAGAAACGCCCTTGGTAGAACCACAAAATAGTGCTTAAAAAAGTCTGCCAACCAAGGACAGTCAAGGAATTCTGAGGGGGGAATTTGAGTTGTAGGTCAACTAAACTTTTTTGTCTCGAAAACAAAATTCAAATTTTCAAAATAGAATTACAAAATTAGGACATTTTCCAAGAGAGTTCTGTGGAATTAAGGTCCACAACAAGAGATCTGTAATTTATCTTTTCGTCATGTTGGGATTCCCTTCGACAAGACTAACGTGTGTTCTGAGGATTTCGGTGATCTGCAAAACCTAGTCAGTAGATACTACAAGTATGTTTATGGCGTCAATTTGTGATGGAGGCAGAACCGCTTGCACGTTTTGAGGATGTTTAGGTAAGAAGAACTGTCCAAGAGGCCCTTGTCAAGAGTTCGCAGATCAGTAACCTCTACACGCGTAGCAACGTTAATATTGCTGGACCACGTTGCAATTCGATACCAACAAATCACCTATGTAGCCTTTGTCGATCAGCCAGATTTTCACGTATGAGGATTACCTTTTTCAAATTGTTGTAAGTTTCAGAAACCACCAGTTAACATATTTAATGTAACGTACCCGTTGAAAGCAAGTGACATTGACTCCACTACTGCGAAAAATTTCGCACCTTAGTCTGTCGCGTCGTGCGCGTGGAAGTCAACTTCTGTATATCAGAACGAGCGATAGGTACTTTATGAGAGCACCTTAACATGAGCTAGACGTTGCGGGGCGTAAGAGTCATAATCTTCAAAAGTTTGAGTGTCTGTTTCAATATAACAAGAACAAATGCATAGATATGCGAAAAGAATCTGAAAATGTTAAGATAATATCCCGACCTGCATAAAGAATATGTATAATTATAGTGTTACTTGTAAAAAACCCCACGGTTTATCAGTTGACGTACCAGATCTCGTCGGGATCATTATTACAAAAGTCATGGATATTCATATTTTGGTAACGCTTTGATATGTGATACTCTTAAAATTGAAGGATATAAGTCCAGTCAAAACAGAAGTCAATAATGAAGCAGAGCGAATGATGCTCAGTAGAGTACCCAATAGGAAGTCGTGACAAACAGTCTTGTGTAACATGTGTCCAGTAAAACTAGCTAGTTCTGCATCAATGTCGAAGACTCAAGAACTATTTATCTTAGAGTTTTATTAACCGCCGCAGTTATATAGGCATATTCGTTTTTTTGACAGAATATGAACTGATCGGCCCTTGTATATGGTATAGCTAAGTTAATCATGATCAATAATTTGATACATAGATGATTAATTCTCACAAAGTGTTTGTTTATGGCGAAAAAACATAATTCAACCTATAGGCGCGTTATTAGTGTTATTGCGCTATTTAGCTATCTTGACTTTGTTGGCTGTAATGTGTCCAAAACAGTAAGCTGTCAACTGATAGCTTTGAGTATGAGACTTTCTTAATCTTGTGACTGTTATTTTTAATTGCTTTTTGTCACTTTCGTCCTCAAATGTAAGTGCTTTCTGTATCCTCACTGCTTAATGGAAACGTTTTTTTGGTCCTTTTATCCATCCCAGATTCTCTATACTACTTCCCTGCACACAAGGCACCTTCAGGCTAGACGCAGACCTATCAAAAACTGAACCTGAATCGTCTATTTTCACGTGTTTCCAGTTGATTGTTGGTTTATTTGTATATTATCTAGCAATGTCAATTTTTATTGTCAGAATATTCACGTGTGTAAAATGGTTTTCAAACGTCGGTCAAACACAATTATTCAATAATCCTAAATTCCGTCGTGCTCATTATCTCACGAAAAAGAAGTGAAATGTCGAGATTGTCCAAGTCATCGATAATTTTGTCGGGACATTTGAGTGACTCGTTTGACATTTAGAATGTTCACATAATTACTAGAGTCTAAAGGGAGTTATAAATTAGCTTCGGCATTTAGGGTTAGGGTTTAGAGTTAAAAGTAAGGGTTAGGAATGAGAGTTAGGGTGTCAAAATGCTACCTAACCATATAAATGAGAGAATTTTCTTGCGAATATCCTAGATTTTCTATCTTTACTTCAGTTGCTTCTTCCACAGATCATATCCTTGCTGATTTCCTGAGGGGCGGGGAAACATGTCTCGCAATAAACGTAGTTTTCACTGTAATTGGCCAAGTAGTCCAATTTTCCTACAGATTTACACCAAACAGTATACCTTTCTCTTAATTTAACACCAAGTCATCTACATCTTACAAAAAGCATATTTCTTCACCTGAATTCACGCCACGCAGTTTCTATCACATCGACACGATTTGAAATGTAATTCATGTGTCAAATGCCATTCGCTTACCAAGTTTTAAATTAGTTTTTCGAAAATATCAACAGTACGTTATCGGTTAAACGCCAAAATTGTAACTGATGAACGTGATTATTCTCAACCGATATCTGAAAAGTTAGTTTTTTTCCAGGCACACTAAACATAGTTATTGAAATTCCCCAGTAATTATAACGAAATACTAACTCATACAAACGTTCATTCGCTACGTCTCATTTGTTTGAACGCACAAAATTCAATCGAGAATGTGAATGTGTTCAAAAAACAGTAAAAATATTGACTAGAGTATCATAATCGGGAACAACATAAACGTTGAATCCATCCACTCCTCGGCCAGCAGCAAGAATCACTGTTTTCGTTGTTGCAATTCGAAATTTATTATTATTTATTTATTTAAACACATAAATATTGGTACAATGAAGCACCAGATAAATATGCGCCTCACAAATCTCATTCGATTTGTGTGAGGGCTGTGATACTGCCCAGGTGCCCAGACTGAAGCAGGTGGTTTTCTTAGGGGGCCACACCCGGAGCCTTTGACCTGAATGTCTGATCCACAAGGCAGTGGAGCATCGTGAGGAGATGCAGTCTCATGGTAGCCGTTGACCAATGACAGGTTCGTCCGCCATTCGTTCCATCAGGATCCTGGAGCCCATGTGCACCATTGGTTTGGAATCAGGGTTTTCCAACTCCCCTAGGTGGACCCTCCGTGTCCACCAACCTGGTTAAAGCGCCGAATATTCACTTTTCGTCCTCTCACTTTCGTAAACAACACCTATGGTACGAGAAGGCAGTGAGTAGGACTTCCCTGTCAGAGGCTATATATTCGCGTTGCCATATGAGATTATTTCGAGAGGGAGAGTAGACTCTCCCCTCTCTCGGCCGTACCAGGGCATTTGGGGGCGCAATTCGAAATTGAACACAACACTTGGTGACTTGCTGTAGTTTTGTAAAATACTCACTATAAATATATGACATAAGGCCAAACCTAATGTAATATCAAATCAAGTTGGTCCCTGCGTGTAGAGAATGGAACGTATAAGCTGGCAGTAGAAAATGCTTCTTTATCTATAATAATGTCTATTAACATTGTTGTTTATGTTGTGAATGTAATTTCGCGTATAGTTATTTTAAACCTTTGCAAACTATCAATCAGTTGTCTCAATTTTGACCGCTCCTTCTGCAAATATTAGTCCATCGTATCTGATTATTATTGTTCATGCATTTTCATACCAATTGCGTTTCATTCCCGTTCTTTCGTTATCGATCATCTAGGGAAATTCAATGCCCGACCATCGTTATATATTACTTATGTGGATATAAGTAGCCCACACCAAAGTACTCCAATTGCTATGACACAGCTACTACCATGGAAGTTCTCACCGCTTCACTGCGGGAGGTGTTGTTCATGAAATTGGGAAAAAAGAGGATGTCGAGCTCTTCAACTGGGTTGGTAGATATGAAGGATCCCCTTGAGGGAGTTGAAAACCCTGATTTTAAACTAGTGGTGCACATGGGCTCCAGGGTCCTGAGGGAACATGTGGCGTATGAACCAATAGTTGGTCACCGGCTACCATGGAACCGCATCTCTTAACATTGCTCCATTGCTTTGTGGATTAGACCTTTCGGTCAAAAGCTCTAAGAGTGGTCTCCCATGAAAACCATCTCTTTCGGGTTGGGCACTCGGGCAGTATTCCAGCCCTTACGCAAATCGAATAATGAGGTGTGATATGCATATATTTGGTGACTCCTTGTACCAATGTTTGTGTTTAAATAAATAAAATATTTCAGTGATTCAAAAATATGACGTACACCAGAGTACGTGTCTTCTTACACTTCTATTTTAAATCCCCATACCAATAAGTTACTTTTTCATTTATTCCTTTTCCGTAATTTGGCTGTTAATGTGCTATTTTACCTTCCAGCACATTTTGTGCCTACTTTTTGGTTTTTCTATAAACTTGTTCATATATACATGCTATTTTTTTAAACATTTGTTGTTTATTTTCACAAAATTTCTTCGGCATAGAAGTGGTTTAGCACATTTTTGAGTCCGCGTAGATAATTTGTCCACGCACTTCTATGAGTGACCACAGGGAAAACTTTTTTAAACATCCGAGAAGAAAAACAGCCTACAGTACGTTATTCAGCTTTTGTATTTCTTACAATAATAAATACAATATGATTTACTACTTAGCTAGTCTTGAGTTACATATTGGTAAGCTCAATAAAAAAAATCAGTTTATTAGCTTTCAATTTATATACGAAATGGTCGAACGTTGCATTTTCATCTTTCTACTGGTTCATTCATGGAATTTATTTCAAAAACCATCCAATCAAAGCTGAAAATTATGGTTCTCGAAAACATCCCTGTAGGCTGGGATGGTGATAAAGCTCGATAACAACTCAAACATAAACCGACAATAAGTTCACCTATCGATCGTGAGAATTGGCGGGGAACGAAAATGAAAGAGATGGGAATGTGTCAATAGTAGGTAGCATCAGATAACTCAACAGACCAATAAAGGAAGTACTTATTAAAGATGAAAATGTCATTGAGACTATTTCGAAACAAAACAGAAGTGTCGCCCAGTTTTGATCTAGGAGTTAAAACATTGGCAGAAGACTTAAGGGGGCATTTCAACTGACCTCTAACCAGCCTTCAGTAATCGTTTATCTCCAATCAACCTGAATGGCAAATTGACACAAGTCCTCCAACTGTTGAAAAGGCATTGGGTCATTTAAATCGAGAGAGAGCAGCAAACCCTAACGGCTTGATCTGGGAGATTTTCAAGGAAGATGGTCAAACTTTTAGCTGTTAGGTTGAGTGAGATATTAGCTAGATTTTAGAAACGGAGTTGTCCCGTCTCAACCTCTGAACCTTCAGTCTGTAAGAAAGAACAAAACACCTATTGCAATAACCAGAGAGTAATCCGTTTGACTAATACAGAGTCTAAAAAATTAGCTTCGATGGTCCAACATTTATATGGAGCTTGAGGAAATCAGTCTGCTTTTAGGCCCGGACGTAGTCGTACTGACCAGATATCCGCTCCTAGACTTTAGCTAATATCTCAATCTACAGACCACAATCCTAATTACCTATTTGCTCATGTTACAGAGAATTGACTTATAATCTTATCAAGCATACCAGGACCGTATCTGATTTAATTGCATATTAATGTCATATGGAAATTCAGGTTTCTGTAAATTCATAGTTTTTCGGTGAAGTCCTTTCAATGTACGAAAATCTGATATACGAATTTTTATCTCTTGTATAAAATTATCCAGCGAGTCAATAGAACGTTGTATTACTTCTAATCATGACTCTTGTATACGATGGCTTATCTCAGTGTATCAGAAAGAATATAACTGACTGTATCCGTACTTTTTCAATATGTCCCATTGTTAGTCAGTCAAAAGCTACCTGTAAATGAATCATTCGAAGCAGTAAAAAGATGTTTCATCATAGATCCTTAGATTCAGTTGACTTCATTTGACCGGTTTTAAAATCAAATGTGAAACTTTTATGTATGATGCTAACTATATTACTACTTAGCTATTGATTCATAATCAAATAATCCACATTTCTTAATGTATGTTAATTTGCCCTACAACGATATCATTTAGCATTATTGTTACTAATAATCGATAGATTTTTCACATACTGCCCAATTGTTTGCTTCTTTTTTATCTTTTAGTTGCTTCACGTTATTTGGAAAAAGCAAATACTATCCATCGATCTGTAGGTGAAGTGTTTGGATTATACTTGCTTTATAACATCTTAGGCTTCATCTGTAAGAGAAAAGCCGATCAATGAAAGACAAAACAGTTCTATTGTGAAGCGGCAATCGTCTCCGAAATTTGGAGTCAATGTATCGAGTGCTCGGCTAGTAATTGATGTAAGTTGCCAGGTAGAGTTAGTAATTATTCACTTATCGTGTATTGCGTGTAGGTAGGCATATTGAATTCCTTTTATTATATTGTTTACTGTTACGGCGCTGTTATGATTTAAAACTTGTGAATTACCACCTTCGTGTTTCATCAACAAACTAATTTTTAACTTCCCTTAAGTCATAATATTACATCTTGATTTTATTCAAATAGCGACCGCTTATTTATTCACTGTTTACCACAACTATGCAATCAAGATATACAACATCAATGAATTTAAGAGTTATTGCTTACATAATATATAATATAGGCCTGTGAACTTACATGCTAGTGAAAATAAATATAAAAAACTGCAACCATAATTTTTCACACGGGTTGTGTAGCTTTCGAAATGGTTGCATATGTATTTGGAGATCAAAACGGAAATTAGTAGCCAGATGTAAACTGTCAGAAACCTCCTTTCAAATATTAATTTCAGGATAAATATTTGTTGTCAAAATATCAACTATGCATTTAGTTAATGGGGCCGTAGATGGGATCTATTAAAATGCTTCTAACTCAATCATAATCTGAACATCACTCAGAACCATTCGATATTTAGAGCAGAGTTGATAGGGAGTCTTGAAGTCGTACTACCGCAGTCATAACTTCCTGAAAATTTTTGACTTCATGCTCAGAACCTCCAATTCTGGTTATACGGCATTCAGCTAAACTCACGGCATATTGTCAGACCAATCTACACAAGCTACACAATAAGGTATCTCTCTTTAACAAAAGAATGTTTCTAACAGTTTGATGAGTGGATTCTCGATTATTAAAATCAAGTAGTCGAATGCAGACGATAAATAAAGTAATGGCTGCTGACCAGACTTATTGACTTGCGCCCCGGATGATTAGGAATCGCGTTTTGTATGCTCATCTACTAAGTATTAACACATTTTACTCATGATATAATATCATAGGTGATAAATGAAGATCAGATTGGTAAGATTAACTCTTGGGTATTGTATCAATGCTTTGTTATTTTCTGTTGTCAATCAGTCTTGTTCAACATAGCTTTGCTGCAGTATTATTATAGTCATTGTGTGCGTAAACCGTCTGATACATTAAGGTTAAGTATTGATCACGGAGTAAAATATTTTCCGTGGTCTATAATTTGATGTTGAGGTTTACAAAAGCTACAGCTTTCAACTAACTGACAAATACTTATAAAGAAGAAATAACATATAAGAATAGACAGTCAGTTGCTCTAGGTGGACTTTTTTTTCTGAGCTGTATGGTTTTTTCGTGGAGCTTTTATTGTTATTTTGGACAAAATCATCAGCATAAACTTCAGGCAGGAGTAAAATGTCCGGACTGCTCCACATATGACACAACTTTTTCGTGTCAACTTCGATCTTGATTGGCTATTGTTGACCTTTTACTTGTCATTGTCTGCCTCTATATTTCGAATGTGTCTCCCTTTGATTTGATTCTTGGTCCCATATATGTATGATTTTTCTAATTGATTGATAGATTGAACCGATTTATTTATTTTTGTTTATTAAAAATTAATAATAAATAGGATTCAATTGCTTCTGCAATTCACTCACATGATAATATGGGACATGGTAGTGTAATTGAACATACTTCTGGTTCATTAACCTTGGATAATCCTGTAAAAAAGTTCAATGAATTAGATGTCGATTCATTGTCTGATATATCATTAGCTGCATATACTGTTTGGACATTGTTTCAACGTTATACATCACATTATATTGTGAATAAAGTAGAATGTGATTATGTGAGTTTCAGTTTGAATATTTGACAATATCTGTGATTGAACTAGTGTCTAATTTAGATTATATTTTATTTGTAAGTTATTTGTTAAAGCAGTTATTATTTCATGTTTTATCTTACCTGGTACATCACCCTACCTTCAGTATTAGTGTTTCCTGTATTACACTGGTCTAATGGGAAAAAACCTGAGAGGATGATTCTGGTACGTCCTCTGACCTGATGAAAGACCAAAGTCTTACTTGCATAACAACTGATGAAGTATATAGGATATTGCGTTGGTCTTTTATTCTCACTTGGGAAATTGATTCGTCAATATTTTTGTTATATCTCGTTGGTTGAACGCTTTATTCGAATCCTAAGCTATTCTGATAACCCCAGGCTAGAACTATTCAGCGACTTGAAAACCAGAGAGAAGACACGAGTATGAGAGAAGTACTTTACTACAAGGTTCATTTATGTACAGAAAATACAGGGGTTTTATAGTAATTAAGAAACCTTGAGTTTCCATAGTAGCAGTATGTTAAACAGCCAACCAGGATCTCGTTATTTTAGTAACATAGCTTCTGACTAATCGCTGATTGGTTGGGACTCTTTATGAGGCTCTGATAGAGTTTACTGTAAGCCGACTTAACAATTTTAAAATCTGGTTTTATTTCAGGCTGACATCGGCCTAAGAGTTACTTAGGCTTAGGAAGATCTCAATGGCTGTTTCATCATAGCTTGGTATTTCTCGACAGTACCTGTTCAAGACTTTATGTAATAACGAAAGCAAAACCTCCGGGTTTTGCGGCAACCAAGACTTTTTGAGACCACTACTTTGGAATGTAACAATCCATTTTTCCAACTTCAGGTTTAACATGATATCGCATGACAATTATCTATTTCCATCAGCACTGGTATCAATCTGGGATACAAAATTTATTCCAGACTGACCAATTTCGAAATTCATTTTCATATGCACTTTGATTACTTCACTTTCCTAGACATTGTGAACTTCTAGCACACCCAAAACTGTAAACTCTGCGCTATACAAAAATATCAAAATCAGCTCATTTGTAAGGAAATTTCGATAAAACGTTTTTGAACTTCTATCTGCAGGTCATCATCCAAACCACATTTTTATCTTGCATGTTCTGATTGAAAATTAGCGGCATTAGCAATCAAGGATAACATAATAATTCATTGGATTTCTTTGATTCTGTTTAGAATCACCAGGTGATTATGTAAAACATGGTTTTTTTTATCTTCATTCAAAAATATCGAACCTTTCATGATTGAATATTCCTCAAGTTAAATGAAATATGAAACTCATTATTATGACGATTATTGAATCATTCGGTAGTTTATGTATTTTCATTCTAGGTTAAAATAGTTGATCTGTTAAATCGCATAAAATCTACACGCGAAGAAATTATCCGCTTACGTAAAACAAAACACGACTGGGAAAACTGGTTTCAATCAGTCAAAGATTTACATAATGAGGTAATACTACATGTGTATATATTACCTGTTGTATAGACATTTTAGTTTATAATTTCATTTTTCCGTTTTTTACTATATTACTTGTTAGTAGTCAGTAGTTTGAGTCACTTTAGCTACATCACGTAAACACCATGACTGGCGACATTTGCTTACCAGAATGGAGTACAGATTCCATCTGTTCATATTCTTGCTTCCATGTTCTGCTTTCAATTTTCATTTTTCATAGCGTTTCTTTCTTCCGATCGGGGCTTTGCAGTTTGGTAGTTTTTTTATTGATCCAGAAGTACGCATAACGTGAACAGCCGCTACGAGTCATCGCGTGCTCACTTGTTGAGGAGAGAAGTTAGTAGAAAATATCTCTATTGTCTTCTTGTCTGCTGACACATCACGACTTAATACGTTCACTTTCATCCGGTGAATCTTAAACATATGCATTTATCATATGGAAGCCTTTAATATAGATAATAAAGATCCCTTAAACCATAGTGGCTGTTCAGACATTTTATTATGATTTTATTTTATTTATCTATTTATACACATAAATATCGGCACAAGGGGGTACCAGATACATATGCGCCGCACAAATCTCATTCGATTTGTGTGAGGGCTTTGATACTGTCCGGGTGCTCAAACTGAAGCAGGTGGTTTTCTTAAGGGGCTACACCCGGAGCCTTTGACCTGAATGTCTGATCCACAAGGCAGTGGAGCAGCGTTAGGAGATGCAGTCCCATGGTAGCCGGTGACCAATGATTGGTTTATTCGCCATTTGTTCCTTCCGGATACCAAGGCGCATGTGCACCATTGGTTTGGAATCAGGGTTTTCCAACTGCCTTAGGTGGACTTATCCATGTCCACCGACCCGGTTAATGCGCCGGACATTCGCTTTTCGTCCTCTCAATTCCGTAAACAACAGTAATGACACGAGAAGGCAGTGGGTAGGACTTCCCTGGAAGAGGCTATGTACGCGTGGCCATGTGAGGTCATTTTGGGGGCTATGATTTTATTATACTAATTTCAACTTATCCCCATTACAGCTTGTTGTATTTGGTCACATACTCAATGAAATTTAATTATGCCTTTTATCTGGTGCCAGCAACTCAGCCTCTGAAATCTATGGTACGTCAATTAAGTAACCTTAAAACTCGACTAGAATTCCGGGTAGAGCAATTGCAGGTAAGGTTTAAGAGGCCCTTTGCTCTAGGAATTTTGATCAGACTGTTACATGTTCCTTGATTATTGACTATCGACCCACATAGAAAAGTAGAGGCCTTCAGGGAGATTTAAATTCGCATGCGCTCCAAGCAACCACGCTTAGAGCACCTTATCTCGCTTCTTTCCAAGTTTGATGTCGAACTTCCAGTCAGAGAGCTTACCAAGTTAAGTAAACTTCTTGTGAACAAAAAAATTTCATCATCTTATAATAATACTATCGTTGTTTCTATTGGTAAAAAGTGCTTCCGTAGTTTATGCAATAATTATCAACTTACTAGTCCTATTCACTGCCTTCTCGCGGCGTTACTGCTGTTTACGAAATTGAGAGGACGAAAAGCGAATATTCGGCGCTTTAACCGGGTTGGTGGAAACGGAGGGTTCGCCTAGGGGAGTTGGTAAACCCTGATTTCAAACCAATAGCGCACATGGGCTCCAGGATCCTGAAGGAACAAATGGCGTATGAATCAATCGTTGGTCACTGGCTACCATGGGACTGCATCTCCTAAAGTTTTTCCACTGCCTTGTGGATCAGACCTTTAGGTCGAAGGCTCTGGGTGTGACTCCCTATGGAAACCACCTGCCCCGGTCTAGACACCCGGGCATTATCACAGCTCACACACAAATCATGTGACTTGTCTGTATGTATTCGGTGCCCCTTTGTACAAAATTTATGTGTTCAAATAAATAAATGAATAAACTGGTTGAGCTGTGGATATTTTGTTGGAGAAAGATATGTTGATTTTCAGTATACAGATGTCGTTCATACACAAACTATGCAAATCGTAGGAGCCTGTGTTTGAAATTCTTTTGCTCAGTCTTGTGGAACCTGGCCTCTTGGAGCTAAGGATTTTCGGAAACTGCTGGTGTTCAATAATCCTTTTATCCAAAGGGTTGCTTACATCCAATAGCAACACCATTTTACTGGTGATCATGATGTTAGGGATTGTGTATCCTAGCACAGTGACGATACTTCAGTTGGTGTCACCATTTTGAAACACCGGCTTCGGTACCCTGTTTCTGCTTTTTTGGATATCATCCCAGCGGTTCCCAATCCGAGCATTACACTTTCAGACTTTGGGACCGAATGGAAAAAGCGGGAAGGTGGTCATTTTATGGCATAGTACTGTAATCTGAATACTAGATTTGTGAAATTGGGGTCTGTTATTAATTCAAAACTCTGTTGTTTTGGTCCTAGGAATACAACGACTCAGTAGCTTGAAATACTATTAGATTATGACCCAGAATATCTATCAGTCGGGATCTTGCTGTAATGTTCTATTACATTTTTCATAAGAATGAGATCACATTTTTAACTAAACTGTATATCTTGTTAAATACTGTTTTCATTTATTTGTTGATTATATGGTCGTTCCTTTATTTATTTCTGAGCACTGTGATCATCTTATTTTTGTGATTCAGTTTTTTTGGTGCCTTAATGCGCCAAAATCTCTACTTGCTGTAACTATCCCAAATAAACTCTACGATTGTTTCTACTTAACCTCTTTTAACTACAGATTAAAAAAAAACAGTTTAATTAGATATTCACTTAACGGTTAAAATGTGTAAATATTGAATTCAATTCAGTCAGCCTGTCAGTTAGCTACAATGTCGGACCAGGTACATATATGCATCGGTCCGAGTTACCACACTTCATTAACGCAACAAGATGAACACCGAATTCATAGAAGTAGTTACTTCAACTGAATGTTAGTGAACATGTTTGAAAAATTAACTTACTGAAAAAAGTTTTTACACTATACTATTTATTTTATGACTTAATAAGTATATATTTTCACCTTTCCAAAAACACAACAGTCCTGATGTTATATCTCGAACTTAGATTCTTAGTTTGTCGCATAATATTTGAGCACTGGAACGCTAGAACTCTCCCAAGTCACAAATCAGAAGACAAGTAGAAGGAATGTTATTCCAAACAGTGTTGATTATGGTATAAACCTGTCAGGTATTTATAGTTTTTAGTAGAAATCATCATTATAATTATCCAATCCGCACACAGGGAGTTATCAGCATTGTCCAATAAGGAAGCTACACGTAGTGATTCTAGAATATTCTTCCAAAAGCTGATTGGATGGAATATGTCTGGCTCCTTAGAGCTTCCTCAACTTCACCTGTGTACCATCCTCACACCTGATAATCTCATATTTTTGTAAGTGAAAAATATTAACTTGTTTATTTTGACTTCTTAAGGAACATCATGTATGTTAAACATTATCGTTTTTATGTTTTTTTTTGTTTCAATCATTTTTCTACTTCAGCGCAAGATCCTTACAGATTTAATCCAAATGTTAGGTATATCTGAATGCAATACAAAAGAGAATGATAATTCTTTAAATAGTCAACATTTTAATCAAACAGAATTAATACCTCAACTTGAACAATCTATATTACAAAAATTTTCACCTGTATTCAATCGTTTAATTGTGAATGGAATAAGCTTAGATACATTTGAAAATGTTTCTTACGATTTACAACAACTTAGTGATATAGCATCTTTGGTAAGTATTCATAATATTCTTAAAATGGTACGATTTTTCCCATTATTTTTTACATTGTATACTAGCTTTTGGTTAGCGTTTTTTTAGTGAGTTAGCTTTTCTGCGGGATGGGGTCGCTAACCCCATGCCCAACCCTCCTCCTTTACCCGGGCTTGGGACCGGCAGTAACTCTAGAAGAGCTACAGGCGGAGAACTACTACGAACATCATCAGGAAGTTAAACGTATTTATAAACAGTTGTCTACGCAAAATACTCAACATCCATCGGCCGGATACTATCAGCAACAGCGTTTTATGGAAGAGGACAAACCAGCTTCCAGCTGAAGAGGAAATTAGGAAAAGACGTTGGAAGTGGATCGGACATATATTAAGGAAATCACCAATGTGCATTACAAGGCAATCCCTAACTTGGAATCCGTAAGGGAAGCGGAAAAGAGGAAGGCCAAAGAACACATTACGCCGGGAAATAGAAGCAGATATGAAAAGGACGAATTGCAACTGGAAAGGAAGTCTCAGGACAGAGTTGGATGGAGAATGCTGGTGAGCGGCCTATGCTCCTCGACGAGGGGTAATAGGCGTAAATAAGTAAGTAAGTAATACTAGCTTTTGATTTGGTGGATGATTCTAAATGGTAGAGCTCATTCAATATAAGATCAGAGTGTAGTTCTTGTAGTACTAGTGATGTATCTTTTGTTTTTAGTTTATAAGAAAGCCTACTGCTAACTAAAAGAATCGATAGATAAACAGTATTAAATCCATAGAAATTATTCCTCATTCATGTCATAAATGAAACCTTGCTACGAGTCCGGTAAATTAATTATACTTGGCCTCTTTTTTATACAGTAAATTATACTGTTTCACTACTAGTCATACCTATATTTCCCAGTTTTAGAATTGTACGTAGTTTTGCGAATAATAACTGCGTTCGTTCAAAATTTTCAAAAAGAATTAGTACCATACATTATTGGAGTGGATATTAGTTTTTCTGAATAAAATCGTCTCTGTCATCTCTTATGGTTTTCTTCGTTACTGTAGTTTCACGCTTTCGATACTTTACGAAATCCTCTCATTCTGTAATTAGAAAAGAAGGAGGGATGATAAAATGTTGAAAAGTTCTTTCATGATTTTAATTCAAAACCTATATAATATGTAGGGCCATAACATATGACGGTTGATGAAAGTAAATTTATGGTTGGGACTTATTTATAATTACTGTCCGGCAACCAATTCTGAAAGATAGTCAGTTCAAGTTTCATATTTCTTTATTTCTGACATTATCTACACGAAATAAAACTATCAAATAAATATAGAGGAAGTTTTTGCCATTTAATGCATGGGCGGTCTTGAAGAAGCAAGTTTTTGGCCAATCACAAAACAGCTTCCGTAAACCAGTAGTTTATGGGAAGTAAAACTTTAATATCAGAAGTTGTAAAAAAGATTTTACATAGTTAATGAATCTATGAAGGTCTTCTACAGTTTGCTCTGCCTAAAAATTAAGGAAACATTCACAAATTTATTCACATGAATACAGATCATTCACCTTTTCGAACTCTTATAAGGACCCAAATAAAGTCTACGTTGTTCTTGGTTAACGTTATGGGTCAAACTATACTTTATGGATGACCTTTGAGTGATGCCAAAGTGATCTTGAGAGTGTCCACCTACTCACTAGAACTAAATAAGGGTTATAAACTAGTGTGAGGGATTAAAATTATGATTCACAATTGATGGTTAGGAATTAGATTTAGGGTTTTCATCGTAAACTGACATCAGCTAAATGCCAAAACGCTATTTAACCAAACTGATGAATGAATTTCGCACCAAAATCCAAGGCCTGTTATCTTATATCTTATTGGTTCGTCCATAATTCATAGTCTCGCCGTTTTCTATGTTCAACACTATTATTTCTCATCCACGACCTCGCCTCGCGAGATTCGAACCCTGGAGTCCCACATTAGGACGAAACGGCCGTCCAGTGTTTCCAGGTTTTCCCTGGTGGTCTAACTTCAATCGACTCACGCTTTCAACTATGAAAGCACTAAATCTCCACAAAAAACACCTGACTATCATTTCTACCTTATGGTAGCAAAAATATAGTTTCTTGTGGTCAATTTTAAATGTTCTGAACATTATGCAGACATACTTTCACTGCTCGTTATACGTGATGTTTGGATCTTCTACAAAAGCACAAAATGTCGGATTCTGGTTTCTGATAAGCTCGTTTCTATACTATACTTTTACCTTTTTTTTTCTTTTTCAGACGTATTTTTTTATTTGTTCTTATTTATTGCATTTTATAGTTTTCTAACATCAGTGAAAATGACCTTGACTCATTTGAACAATTAGCAGATGAAGTTAATAGTTTTGCTGATCACTTACAAAATAAAGTTTATCCTCAAAATATTGTACAATATGAACAATTAATGCAATGTTTACAAACTTTTATTTTATATACTTCATTGAAATGTGAACAAATTGAACGTAAATGGTTGAAAGAAATATCTTTACTAGATTAATTTTTTGATAAATATTTTCCTGAAGATGAACTTTATTATCAATAAATTTGTTTAAAATAACTTGTTGACGTTTCTGCCCCCAAATGCCCTGGTACGGCCGAGAGTGAGAAGAGTCCGCTCTCTCTCCAAATGATCTCACACGGCCACGCGTATATAACCTCTGCCAGGAAAGTCCTACTCACTACCTTCTCTTGGCATTACTGTTATTTACGGAATTGAGGGGACGAAAAGCGAATGTCCGGCGCTTTAACCGAGTTGGTGGACACGAAGGGTCCATATAGGGGGGTCGGGAAACCATGATTCCAAACCAATGGTGCATATGGGCTCTAGTATAACGAAGGAACAAATGGCGTATGAACCCATTGTTAGTCACCGGTTACCATTGGACTGCATCTCCTCATGATACTCCACTGCGTTGTGGATCAAACCTTTAGGTCAAGGTCTCCGGGTGTGGCCCCTTAGGAAAACCACCTGTTTCAGTTTGGGCACCCCGGTAGTATCACAGCTCTCACACAAATGAAATTTGTGCGGCTCATATATATCTGGTGTCTCTTTCTACCAATATTTATGTGTTTAAATAAATAAATAAAGTTGACGTTTCTGCACTGTTAAATCGATCGTTCGTATTAGGTACTATATAACAATTTTTGTCGCTTAATCATCACTGAGTAGAAGTCAATGTTCTGTTTGTCTGGTCGTTAAAAGTTTACAAAACTCTATCGATATAATTCCTTGAAAAAGCTTGGACCAGATCGCCAGGCGAAACGTTGGATTTCAAATTAATTCGCTGAGATTTTACAAATATATTATTCCTAATTAATGTCTTGCATCAACTCGGCGCTCAAATACTGTGAAACTATTCGCTCTAAATTAGACGAAAGTTCTTATATATTGCTCTATCGTTTAAGTTACAGTGTAGTGAACAAGAACACGAGTGGGGACAAACGAACGTATTTGAGCACAAACTTACAGAATATCTCACTAAAATATGAGAACCATATGGTAAATAGTTACTTTACAAACTATCAATCAATTGTCTCAATCTTGAACGTTCCTTCTGCAAATATCAGTCCATCGTCTCTGATTATTATTGTTCATGCATTTTCATACCAATTGCGTTTCGTTCCTGTTCTCTCCTTATCAATCTTCTAGTGAAATGCATTCAGTGCCCGACCACCGCTATATACTATTTATGTGGATATAAGTAACCCACACCACAACAGTATGGCTAGCGGTAACATATGAGGTAGTAAAACTCGATGTCCAGGGTTCGAGTCCGTCGGTGAGCACCAGTCACCGCATGATTACGTATATATTTTTCTGGCGAGTATCAATTAGCGCAAAACCTAGGTCTACAAATGTCCTCCCAACCACTTATCATTATTTAGATTTGCAATTATTTTATGCTTACTACAGTTTGAACAAATGATGATGATCAGTCATCTAGACGTTATTAATTATTTCGGACTCTAAGACAAGAATGTATCATTTCAAATTGCCACATATAGATAAGGTAAAATGAAATACCGTAAAAATAATATTCAAATGAATGGTGCTTAAAAAAGCAGGGAGAATATAGTTGGAATAGAACAAACCATATTGTGAAATAACAGGTCTAATAATAATAATGAAAGTTAAAATCTAAGGAAATATACAGGAATTTGTTAACAACTATGGATAATGAAAGTCAATTGGATTCCAACCAAGAAATACAAATCAATATGGGAATAAACAGCTTTCCTGTTATTGTTATAGAATTTGCTGGAAAATATTTTAGTACGCTTATTGAACGTTATCAATAGATAGTTATTTATAAGTTCCATGTGTAACATAGACTTTTTGGTAATAGTGAGCAGCTGATAACCTGCAATCCTTCAAGGAGTTTCAGGTACTTTGAAATAGTTCAAACAAATGATTTATTGTTTTTATAGTCCAGTAAAATAAATCGTGACGTAGTCTAAGCTTTTAAATTTCTATATATGTATATACACTCGTTGGATACACAATGAATGATGATCATTCCTAAATATGTGGTTCACTGAAAATTTAACGGGAGTTTAGACGAAACTAACGAGAGATTAGATGATTTCACACATCAGATGAGTGAAAATGGATTACTTTCTATTGAGCAGGAAAAAATTGACTTATTTATAACCACATCTGATACACTCAGCTCTTCAGGAGCAGATGAACGAAGAGGCATACGTGGAGGTGGTCTAATGATAGTGTTGTGGCTTGGTCGTCCAATTATGACCTTGAATAATCAAGTTATATGTCTGCTCGAGTCACCCTGTTCAGTTCCCAAAGCACATTAGTCCAGCGCTCACCCAATAACTATACTTTAAAGTCTCTCTGGCTGCCGATTTTATAGCTGGGTTCTTTTTTCGATGAGAGGTTGATAACTTCACACTCAACCGTCCTTGCTTAGGGGGGGGGTTTGGGACCGTCGGTACATCCAGATGGTCTTCAGGTGGAGTTACATTAAAGTCTTGTACGAGTATACTTACTTGACTATAGAGCTGAATTTATTTTAATCATGATATGGCATATCCTTCACGCGCTCGATTCATAAACGTTAATCATAGCAGTTCAGCAAATGTACTGATCGGTCTAAATAAATAATTCTTAAATGTATTTGTTGCTTGCGTATAAAACTATAGATAGATGTCGTTTTAATAATAATACTGACCCGTTTATTCTGAAGCAATCGAATAATTTCTTCACATTGAAATAAACAGACTAACAGTTTTCAATAATTAATTTAGTGAGTATTGAGTTGTATGTTTTTAAAATATATGCAAAGTCTTCAATGTTATTTCATTTGTATTGATTGTTTGAAACTTCCCGTTGATGTTAAGGACTGTAAGTGATCAATCTCTTTGGGATATAGGGATCCTGTGCGGGATGCCTTGATATTGACAACGCCACAAACATTATCAGAGATGGATGGTGGCTAGCAGTGGAATCCAGGACCCGCGTTTTGCCCTCTTTGGGACTCATTAGAAGGGTATACCTGCATCTCCGAGGAGATATTGAGTCTCGGAGTGAATATAAACTCTAGGATACTGGTACATCCAGCTGACGAGTCACGAATAAAACGAAACACGCGTCCTGGATTCCACTGCTAACCATGATCCATCTTTTTAATGTACTGTTTGACCAAAAAATACCGAGCTGCTCAGCTAACGGTAAGAGTTACATGTTGTATGATGACAACGCAATGTGACTTGGGTTTATATTGTTGAGAAAGCCTAATTTCACTGACAGCTCCAGGTACATACACTTTAATAATAAGTGCCATGAAGCACAAAACGTTAGATAATGGCTTCTTGCATATAACTATCAAATACATAATATTTCTAGTGTAATGTTATTTCATTAGAACATAAAATACCAATTAACTGAAAATTCATAGTATGGTAGACAAACAAAATTTTTCTTTGTCTCCATATAAAGTATCTGTAGCTTACTTGTGTTTGTGAAGTAAGCTATAAATCTTTCACCCTAAACTTTAGCGTCATTTCATAGTTGGATGTTCGCAATGTATTATTATTTCGTTATATTTACAGATTAGGCTACTGACTGATGATCATTACAAGAAAAATGTTTATTTTAAGCAAAGATGGATTTTGGCTTACAGTGGAATCCGGGACGTGCGTTTCGTCTTATTTAGGACTCGTCAGATGGATGTACCTACATCTCATAGTTGATGTTTACTCTGGGACTCGAACCCAGTGTCGTTCGCGTCAAACGCCATCGCGATATCCACTTAGCTACTGGGTCCTGATAGCCACTTGCTTGTGAAATGGGGTGAAGTTTAAATTCACCTGGTATTGTTTGTTTGGATCTTCCCATTGATGTTTTTAGGACTGCAATTGATCAGTCTCTTATTGGCACAGTTTGCACATATGGCCAATCAGAGACTAATCGATTGCCGTCGTAAAAGTCAATGGGGGAGATTCAACCAAACAATACCAAGTGAATTTAATATCTATTTATTTGTGAAAATTATAATTGAATTCATTTTAAACTATACATTTGGCTTGATTTATCCCATCTATCTGTATAATAAAATAGTGGCACACTGACATTGAAATTGTTGTGAAATCAATAACTTAATGATATCAGTATGAAAAATAAAAATAGTCATTGTGTACTACTTGAAATTGTGCCGTTAAAATTAACCAATCAGGAGAAGATATATGTACCAAAGGAAAGGTCACATCATTATGTGAATACTATTTGTGTAGAGAGATGATTAGATTAGGTGAGATTAAGAACTTATATTCTATTTGTAGATGAACAAGTTTACCTTCATACTTTGTAATTCAATTTTATTTGTAAATTTTCATTACATTTATTTTGTATCTGCTAGGACATTCTCCTTAGCGAATTAAAGTTCAATGGTGTCATCTTTAAAATTGACCCTTAATGTATCTTTCTTATGTGATGTGAATGTATCAAGCTGATGATTCACTTTTTCTTTTAGCTTATGTTTCGAAATTTAAACAGCTTATAATTGTTTTTTTCAGTAAGCTTAGTTTACGTTTAGGTTTCGTTTGGATAACAAAGGTGTTAGGTTACCTCATTATGTGTGCATTGACTATTGTGTTTTCTAATGGTCAAGGTTATATCTAATTTTTATATATAGTTGAAATCATAAGTCAATTGAAGCTAGACCACCATGGAAAACCTGGACGGCCGTTTCGTCCTATTGTGGGACTCCTCCATGGTGGTCTAGCTTCAATTGACTCATGATTTCAACTATATATAAAAATTACTTAAAATCTCCACAAACGACCCCCTTATATCTAATTGTTTTATAGATTTATTCATCATCATATCAGTAAGCTCATGCTCTACACTGAAAACTCTGGGTGTTGTTAAAGGGATTCTCGCAGCTTTCGATATTGTAAAAGTATACTTCTTTTTAAGGGATTTGAAATGGAATCTGAGTTAGTAGTAGTTTTATCGACCTGGAAGCAATACTGAGGTTAAAATTAATGTATTAGAAATATTGGTAGATTGAACTGTGAAGTCTCATTGAACGGAG